AAGCCCTATCATTATGACAGCTGGTGCAGTCACCTGACCAAAACCTTGACAGTCAAGTATGCCCAAAAATATAATCTACAAAGATATACCATTAACACATGCAAACAGATTCTAAATCTAAGACCTAAACGTACCACCAGCATTCCAAGATAAACTTAAGTCAGAATACAGGGAATGCTATTTAAGCAAGAAACTAGCTAGTCCCCTGTTACAGCCCTGGGAATCCTGGCAGCCTCCTGCACAGCCAGGCGGGCAGGACAGCGGGGCCCGCGCCGCGGGCACGTCCCGCTGCGGGCACGGCCGGGAGCCGGGACACGGGAGCCGGGACACGGGACTCGCTCCGCCGGCCCCGCGGGGCGAGCAGGGACCCCGCCCGCACAGGGTGCAGCGGGCCAGGGCCGGCGCCAGCTTTGCCTCCCCTTGCCCCGTGCAGGGCAGGGCCGCGGGCACCCCACAGCTGACCGGGGACGGTAGCGGAGCGGCTTCTGGACGGCGGCGCGGCCCCTCCCGGCTCACCCAGTCCGCAGGCAGTCGATCTGCAAGCGGGCGCTTCTCCAGATCGGCACATGTTCGAAGGCGTCGTGCATGGCGGCGACTCCCGCGACCCCGGGCCACAGCACCCGGCGCAAGATAGAGCACCGGCGGGCGGGCGGGGAAAGCCCGACGGGAAGGGACCCGACGAAGCGCCCGCGCCTCCGAAGGGCTCCCGCCTTTTCCGGCCCCCGCCCGCCACCGCCGTCTTCCGTCGCAGGCCCCGCCGCCGCGCTGCTTCCCGCCGCGCATGCTCCCGTCCCCCGCAGCGCACGCGCTCGGTCCTTCCCCCCAACGCGGGGGTCTTGGCACCAGCCCGGGGCGCTCCACCAGGAGCTGTCCCTCAGCGCAGTCCCCGCGCCGGCAGCCCGACAAACAGGAGAGGCCTGCCCCGGAGCTCGGGCGCCAGCGGGAAGCGCATGTCGGCACGGCCAGGATGCTGTCCCCAAGGGGACTCTCCTCACCCTGTCATAATCCTTGTGCAGCTTCATATAGCCCAAAAAAGGGACTGGCTGTAGCAAACACTCGCCTTCCCGCAGCGTCAGTCTGAGAGGTGTTTGGTTTCCTTTGGCTTACATAAACCAGAGCGGGTAGGAAAGTCACACAGTATACAAGGGCCTTCATAACCTAAGGCAACCAGATGAGAATAGCAAGGCGTATCTTGCAAGTAAATGTCTATTTTTGGAGGTCAGAAGTTCTACTTTAGTGAACTTACCCTATGAACTTGGCTGGTGAAGTTCAGATTCCAGGGGGTAATCTTTACTTGTTACCTTGTCCCTTCCAAAATAGGCCACAGTTGCATTTACTTCAGTCATGGAGAGGTGCAACATTCACCGTCACTGACACAGAAACTTATCTATCTAACCCAAACTCAAAAAACGCATGGCACTAAGTTCTGCAAGCATTTTCACCAACAGAAACCACCGCTTCCAAAAACAGGGGCTGAGGATGCTCTGTGCTGGGAGATCAAAGCACAGGAAGAGGAGAACAAGCACGGTGTTCTTGCACCCAGCTTCGTTCCTGCTCAGGAATGAAACCCTGCTAAAGCACAAAACTGTGCTAAGTCGCATCCCTTTTTCAGATACCAAAACTGTAAATTGCCAAAGGAGTTATGGCTCAGGTATGTAGCTGGTCTCTTTGACCTAGGATCCCTACAAAAGGAAAAGGGATAGAGTACTGATTTAGTGCAAGGAAACGAAAGTTTCAATAACACTGGGTAATAACGACTTCACATGCAAATAGTTGTAATCCAGAGAGCAAATTATTTGTGAGGCATTGGCCTCTTCAGGTTTTAAGAAGTACCACACTTTAGCATACAACATAAAATGCCATATAAAGTGAACAGGAGGATAAACAAAGCCCACAAACACACACTGCTATATGTGCAGAATAAGACAAACATACCCTTCCCTACACCAGGTCTTATGATCCTGACTCACTGCCTATCAAGCCTGTGATTCTGTAATTTCTTTACCATGCTGTGACCTCTTACTCAGTCCCTCCTTCAGAGTTCTCAGCAGGAACATTTTGTCACCCTAATGTAAAGCTGGTCAACAATATCAGCTGCTTCAGTATGTTTTCAGTTTTCTGTACGGTGTGCACATGCTGCAATTGCAACAGCAGTATCACAGCTACTTCTCACAAATCTATGCAGAACTAATCAGGCACAAGAACTCTTAAAAAACTCCTGTCAGACATTTATTTTTTCTGTAAGAAGAAAGTTATTAGGAACAGGTTGATGAAGATATTTGAAGTCAGCAGCCAAATTTCCTAAACAAAATTCAGCTTTTCCACATCATTTTAATTAATAAAAACACTTGTAGATCTCAGACCTAAGAGTAGATCTTTTCTCTCTCCAGCTCACCAAGTCTTTCAGAGTAGTTTGCATGGTTTGTTTTAAAATTCCAATACCCTTTTGAAAGAATGGGTATAAAATTGAATTGTCTTCCCTGTCTACATACTTAAAGTAACAACCTGCAGGATTTCTGGTCAGGCATTTTAGCAAGCTAGCTTGCTGATTAAGCTTTCCTGAGCTTTTCCAAGTCATGGAACCAACACATCTTTAGGAGCAAAACCAGGTTTCAGAAGAGGCAAAGATCCCCTCAGTAGAACCAACATACTTGACCAAACATGCTGCTGCAGGAGAGGCCACATTGCTGCAACTCCCTTGCACATGCCCTCTTTGCTCCTCACCCACATCTCATCCACTGCTTTTAGCCATCTCTCCTGGAATCATAATTGCAGGAGCAGCTGTACACGTCATAGCCCACACTATACTGTGGGAGCTGGGCACTCACACAATTTTTCCACAGGACTACAAAAAAGTCACAGCAGACACTTGCTGTAGGCTAGGAAGCAGATACTACCTTCCAATGATACAGAAACTCTGCTAAAACAAGTGAAAAACCAAAAATGGCTAACCAAGGGATCAACAAGCCCCTTGTGGAATTCAGGACAACTTCAAATACTGCTTCAGGTAAGTACAAGAATGGAAGGGCAGAAGGCAGCAAGGATTGCCTAAGACCTACCACTGTAGTCAGAGGTTGCATGCACCACACTGCTACTACATTTATTTTAGTCTTTAAATTATTAATTCAATTAAACTGTGAATACAATTAGTAAAACTGTTTAGATCTGTTACTTTTGTTCAGAAATTTATTTTTTGCTCTACCTCTATTAGCTTTTCAAATGACAGACTTCCACTCTATTGTCAAGCTCAATGAGAAAAAAAAGAACTGTTGGGAATAACTGCATTATAAATACTGCGCAATAAAGAGCTAAAATCAGGGAGCTTTGTGAAGATGTTAACACTTCCTCCTGTGAGACAAGAGGTAGTAAGAAAGTGGAAGGACACAATATAAGCCTTTCTCCTCTTTGCCTAGCCTTTATTAAATAGTACATACAAACTGTTGTGCTTCCAGTAGAGAACATTTTTACCTATTTGTTTCAAAAAACCCAAACAACCCAGAACAATAGGACTTGAAAAAAAAATCAAAACAGAACCCCCCCCCATTAAATAGCGAGCTTTGTGTAGCTTTATTTCACAAAATTTCCTCTCCTCAAAAGGACATGGAGGTAACATTTTTTTCATCTATATCAATTAAGCATAGCAAATTAGAAGTGTTTTTTAATTAAAAGATTCTACCTGTAGCCTAAAGAAGAGCTCTAGCAACTCCTGCAGAAGCAGTGAGGTGCTATAGCCACAGCTTTTTTTTCTCTGCCCATCTGCTGAGAGTTCACTGCCCCACAGCACACCTAGCAGAAGACACTATGTCCTTGTGCCTCAGCTACTCTACTGTAAAGTGCCACGTTTCAGCTTGAATTGCTGATAAAGATGAACTACAGCTAAGCTACCAGACCTTACAGTGGAATGAATGAAGTACAGGCACATGTTTATTTCTGCTGTCATAGCTATGAGTGAAGAACCAGAAAAGCTTACTCCCTATGCCATTCCAGCAGCAGCCACATCTGCTCCTGAGCTGTCCAGCTACTGCATACCTGGTAATCGTCAGGTGTAAAGGTTATGAACCTGAATTAGACCTTTTGCATACAGTCTACAGTGGGTTTCCATGAGGAAGTTATTGCAAGTGTAGCTGTTACAGCCAAGCAAAAAATAAAAACAACACCAAATGCTCTTTTTAATCTCAAAAGGAGAAACAAAATGCAATTATATAGGAGTCTGAAACTTTGACTGAAACACAGTTATCTCAGAGTACCTCTTGGCCATAGGACCAATTGGGACAGGAAAGCTCATCATCAGATCACTTACATGGGAAGCAATTCTAAACAGACACTGGGAACTTAACTATCCCAGCACTGTGGACTCCCCATAAAGCCTCTTTCAAGTAAGGTAGGCAGTGCTTGCACCCTCTAGAAAGCAATGCCATGTTCTTGTAGAAGAGCGCCAACTTCTTGGTGGGAGATGATACATGTAAAGGGAGAATATCTGCTTAACATGTGGTCAAGCACTTTTGGAGCGCTGCAGGAATGGGTTTGGTGATGTTTGGTGGTGTTGTTTTGTTTGTTGTTTTAAATTAAATCATGCAACACATGAAAGGTAGGGGCAAATAATTTTTCCAGGCATCCACCACATTGCCGGCAATGAGATGTGCCACAACAGCAAGTGTTAGCTCTAGACAGCTGTTACCTATAGGTCAATGGCATTTAAAATAGAAAATTTTTCATACACAGTGTTATGAATAAAATTGCACTTGATTTTGTTAAAAACTCATATCATTGTAACTTTTCCAAATATTTTCATTCTGGTATCTTAATTTTCTTCATCAACAGGAGCTTCTCTCTAAAACCCTCTCATGCATATTGGGCACATGACATACAACAGCAGTTGTATCTACCAGTAAATGGGTCTGTTGTTTCTTCAGTGCTTACTTCTAGATGTCCCCACCCTCCCCCCAAAAAGGTACAGGCAGTTCACCTCTAGGTGTCAATTGTAACACTGAAATATAAACTCCTCAAACAGACATTAGGAATTTTAGTTTCACAGATTAAATATTTGAAAAGTTACAGAAGGTGCTGGAATAGTACATATGTAAATTGCTTAAAAATCCAAACTCGCAGCAACTTTGTAAATTCAAATTTCTGAAAGGTTTATAATGTCCTTGTGAACTTCTTCCACAGCAAGACACCCTCCACGACAGTAAAGCATCAAACTTTCAAGGCTGAGATCAACAAACAAATCAGCAGGATGCACTTGCTCCACCAAGCAACTTTAAAAGAGGCGTCTCCACTTCCAGTAGCAAAAAGCTACTCCTTCATTCCATTTTGGACCTTTCAAAGTGTGTGATCATTCTTTCCTGGAAAATAAAATACCCAATGGTGTCATTTCCCCCAGTAGGTTTACCTTATTCAGAATGTGCACATTCACAACAAATGTAAACTCACATGCATTTTAAGTCAGGAGTCCAACTTACGCAGAAGATATAGCACTTTTTTTAGAATACATGTTTGTATTCTAAGAAGTTGTCCCCACTATCCTTCCCCCCTTGTAGTATTTTACTGCTGCACTGACAAGATCGGAGTCCAGTTCTGATAAGCCAAGTCTTTACCAGCTGACTCATGACTCCTTTGGCATGTGAGAAGACTAATTTGAACTGAAGACTTCTTTACTGACCTCATCTGAATCCAGAAGAGCTGGAAGAGCACTGCAGGGGGGGGGAGAAAAAAAGTTAAAATTAATACATACTAAGATTGACAACCATTTTTAACCTTATGTTGCTTTTAGGGCACAGAAGAGCAACAAAGACAAACCTTTCAATTTAACAGAAATTAGAGAAAGACACACAAAAAAGGAAGAGCCCAAGGAGTATCCTCAACCACCTTTGCAGTTTCAAATTCTTTTTTTCTATGTTTCTCATTATCAACTGAACAATTTCCAAGTTTCCAAATAAGCCGCATCATTCATGCAGGAACACTGTTGAACTACACTGAAGAAATTTACAATATGGGACCATGTTGTAAAAACACAGCCCAGGAATCAAACAAGTTCCACTGGTACCCCAGCCTATAATAGACATCCCATCTGTTGAGATATTGTCTCTTCACAACCCTGATCAGACTCTCAGGAACAGAAAACCCTGCAGCAGAGGAGCTCAAAGTGTCCTTTCATAACTTACACCAGTCTAGTTCTTTTTTTCTTAAGGAATCCTATCAGTCTTCAAAAAATCAGTATTAGAACTGGGAAAACCAAATTCAACTCAGAAAATGCACTTTTTCATCCTCTAGAAACTTAACCTAATTTCTTGTCTTTACCTAACTTCAAGGAAAGTTTTGTACTTCAATCCATAGCCTCTGCCAAAAATACCTGTTCAAATTTGTGAACATAATTAATCTGTGAACATCAGTTTTGCTACAAAAAAGGTAGCATTTTTAGGATGTAAAAGTTATTAAAAGCAGAATAGATGCAGACATCATACACACCTGACTATACTGCCAGAAACATAAAAATTTCAACTTTATTTTGAATGTCGGTTGTAAACTAAACCACATTATTCCATGGTTTACATTCAGCAAGATACTCAAGGGTCTTTTCAGAGCACTTAACAGAAAGAGGGTTTGTTTGTTCTGTCTTCTAGATTTAACTTTAGTGAAGTGCAAAGCAGTCTGTGGTTTCACAGTCCGAGGCAGTGTTCTTTAAGTCAGCATGTTCAAATCTGACAGACTGCATACAGCCAAGTGTCATCACACTAAGAAGTCAGAGGCCAGTGCCAGGCTCTGCTCATGGAAGCCCAGCATACAAGTTATAAAGCATTCTAATGTATTTGTGTTCCTGTGTGCAAGGAACCTGCTTTTATTGTGACTATAAAAATACTCACACATCTGTCACTGATGAAGGAACATTCTCCTCTACCCACTTCAGGTCATCTTCTTGCTACAAATACAGAAATTAAACAGAAAACAAAAGTCAGTTTCCCCAAAATGCTGTCACATGCAAACCTTTTTTTTCCTCAACCTACTTGACAAAAGGTAATGTATTTAAAATGTCAGTTAAAAATTTAAACAAAAACCAAAAACCCAAACAAACAACAGGAAAAAACGTCTTCGATTTGATTTCTGGATTACAGAAAACACATTCCAGGAAAAAAAAAAGAGGACTAAAGAAAAACTAGCTGTGAACTCTTTAACAGTCTAATGGTGACTAGGAAAAGGAGGACCTCAGGACACTTCGGTTATTTACATAATCTAGTTTTAGTCTCTCAACAAAGAACACGATCTTTTGAAGATGTTAATAGATGAAACCATATAAAAAGCACAAGTTAGATTTATCAAAGGTATTGTCCATATTGTCAGGATTTCTCATTTCTATCTGGTGAACAGTCTCTTAATTCACAACACAAGTACATTTGTTCTGAAGTTGTGGAAATGACCCTCTCATCCCCCTGGGTCCCAAAACAGAAAAGTTTGATTTTCATGTTATCCTCAGGTAAGTAGTACACAGTTGCAATCAACCTTTGAGAAAAACAATGTCAACGACAAAAATATGACTTGCTATTACAATGAATTCCTACATGTTCTTTCCACTTTTAAGTTTATGCACAAATTCCATGAACATTCCAAGACATATTTTCTACCTCCTAGATGAATGTGGCTTGTAAGCCACATGGAAAAAAAAATGCACATTATCCTGAAGTATTTAGGCAGGTACATAACAATATCCATATCACCCCATTCAACTAATAAATCACAAATCTCAAAACTAGAAGGCAATTTATTTAAAACTGTCCCTCTGAGACTAACAAACTTGTTAAAATAATGTATTACTCATTATCAGAATATGGTATTATACAGCTCTATCTATACTGGATTGCACAAACATTCCTAAAGAACAGACTGAATTCTAAAGTTTCCACTGTACATACAGGAAATCTGATGGAAAACCTGTATTTGCTTTCTTTTCAGAAGTAATGTAAACTTAAAATACTTTGACTTACTCACACTGAGGCAAACCAAAAACCTCATATTTGTTGGCTCAAAACTTTGCAAAACTACTCATAACTACTGTGAGCAAACAAAGAAGAGATGAATCTATATTCTTTGAGGTAGAGAGAGTGTACTCACAGCTTTGTTTGCTTTTACATTCCCATTTGGTTCTTGCTTTGTACTTCTCATTTTCATTCCCTCTGAAAACAAAAGGAAAAAAGATTGGGATAACTGAACTATAATTGTTCATAGACTGTAAGTGAAAGTGCTGAATCTTCATTTAGGATATTTCATCAGATTCAAGAGGCAGAATTAGACAAGTTAATGATTAGAGACAGCTTTCCCTTTGGAAGGCTTGTAGTATTTTTTCCTGACAGGTGGAATACCTCTTTTTTTCTGCATTTTGTGATTTTACCCAGGAAATATAAATTTTCTAATCATTTTATTTAAGCCAGACATCAGCAGCATAGAACTCTGACACAGTTACCCAGAGAGGCTGTGGAATCTCCATCCTTCCAGATACTCAAAAGCCATCTGGACACAGTCTGGGGCAACCTGTTCTAGGCAAACCCTGCTTGAGCAGGGGATTTGGACAGGATGACCTCCAGAGGTCCCTTCCAGCCTTAACCATTCTGAGCCACAGGCAACTCCCAAAGTTTATTTTACCTACTGGCTGCTGACTGGCCACTTGGTTGACTTACGAGATGAACAGCAACATGCATCTCCCAGCCTGACAGATAGCCAGATAGAGCTGATTTGCCAAATGCACCTAATGGATTACACACTTCTCCTCAGCTGCTACACAAGGCAAACAGCACCAATATATCCCAACATAATGAATTGTGGACAGACAGCAACAACAGGTATGTGGCCCTACCTTTTACACAGCTTATGAACAGAGGTGTTACAACAGACAATTTCATGAATAAACATATTCATCCCACTGGACATTCCTATGTTAGGCCTTAACATGGAAAATTAAGATTGCAGAGTTCAGAGCACAGATAATAAATGAAAATTCTTAAATGGGATTTTAAAAGAGAACTGCACACTAAACCGCTGCCTAGCAACAATATCCAAGAGATCCTTGTCATCATGACTGGATTCAAACCTAAGACTTGACATATTCAATAAAACAAAGTCCACTAGACCTGGCAAAGCAACATCAGCAGTAGCAATGTTTCCAGTGTCAACCCCAGAATTAAACATTGGCAATGTAAACACTAAACATAAAGCCAGTATTTCCCCCACAACTACATGTATCGATGGCAATTGATTCCACTTTTCCAGCAGTAATGAATTTTTTGCCAGAGGAAGACACCTTCCTCCACAAAAGTGTCTCTTTACCACTGAAATTAGGTGGAAAAATGTTTTTCTTACCAAAGCTTTCCTTTAACATTGGTTCTTTCTGCTCATCATCATCCTCCTCTTCTGACAGTGGTGAGAAAGCAAACCTTCAGGAGTGAAAGAAGGAAAGCTATCTTAGAATTGTATCTCTTGCCTCCCAAGAGATCCATTACCCCAGCATTCACATGACTTGATTATTCTGTGTAGTTCACTATTTTTAAGACCGATGCTCAACTACATAATCAGAAGTTTAAGTCACTTCTTTTTAAATAAGTTCAGCAACCAGGAACAGACTGGATTTTATGTATGTGACTTCTCTATGCTTACTTTTCCTCAAGCCCCTACACAGACTGCTTAGTATCCTTATGGATCAGTATAGAGTAACTAAAAATCACCCTCCAGTACTTCTTTGAATAAACAAGCATTCCCAAAACCCAGTATTTTTAGGAAGAGGTAAGAAAAGCTGAACCTTTGGTTGTTAGCAGATGGTCTCCACAGAATCATGATGACAAAAAGGATCATTGAAAACAATAAACGCCAGATGGCATCATCCACCCATAGCTCCTGCCAGTCCTGCCAAGAAATACAGCAGCACAAATGGAAAGTATTGAGAAGCAAGAAATTCCATGTCCTCATCTCTTTCCAAGGGTGAACCACAGGCATCTGTCAAACAGGCTCATTACTCACAACAGTGAGAATTTTAGCATGTGGTACTATGTGGCAATCTTACTGCCAAATGTAAACTTATTAAGAGGCAGCAATTGTAGAAAACATTCAATATAAACTCACCGACTGACAGTCCACCAGCCTGAACTTCATGGTGGTCCAGATGATAAATACAATAGATGCTGCAATATTCAAACAAACAAGTTGATTATTACTACAAAATACGCCAATTCAAATATCCCACCAACAGGACTCTTTCCAAAACAAAGACCAAAAACCTAAACAGTGAAGTCTTGACATCCAATTTAATAGTTTTGAAAAACAAGAGATGGATTTATTGTACTGACCTTATACAATAATTTAGGCACAGACACATAGAGACACAAGGCATAAATCAAATATTAAGTATTTAGCCAACTCCTCACTCCTATTTATTTTTCTTACATTACTTTTATCTAGCCTCCAAATCATGGTTTCATTATCAGCTGACAAACAAAGCTTACCTTGAAGTAACCCAGCAATCTGATCTGCTTGAATGCCTTAAGCATTCAGATCTCGACCCGCAACAGTTCCAACGCTCAAACTATGCCCTTACCATAATTTCACAACAGACTTCCCTCCATTAAGGTGTTCTAAGTTGACTAAGAACCACGTGCTGAAAGGAATTTCAATCAGAGCTTTAAAAGGAATGTGCTTTTTTGCTTGATTGTTTAAATAAAGGCACAGTCTTTAGAAGTTTTCTGCTCATTGTATTGATAGCAGAGCACCTGGAAGGATCAACAGATTTGTTCTTGAAGTTCAGTTCATCACTATTATAAATGGAAAAAGAAACTGAACCTGTACTCTTCCAGAACACAGAGCACAAATGTGTATTCTTCCAGAATACAGAGGGCATTATGTTACAATACTAAGAATACATTTTTCAAGAATCACTCTGGTCCTTCAGCTATCTGGTCTTCAGACATCTTAAAAATGAGAAAGTATACAGTGATACTGTGATTTTGGCAAAAAGTATCTCTGTGAAGTTAACAGCGTATGATAATAATCTTTTGCCCCCTAGCAGCTTGTAGTGGGATTTAAGTGTTCCCTTAGAGGAGCTGCATTACTATTGATTTTATTAACATCAGGACTAATAATCCACTGTCTCTGAAATATCAACATAACACTTGGCAAAGACCCACTGTTAGAAATGGGTCAAGAGTTAGAAATACCAAGAACTTTGATTGTATTTACAGAAAGGTCACCAAATTTAAAGATTTGCTTTAGTGACCAAATCAAGCCATATATGGAAATGGAAAGTGGTCTTATTTGATAGATGTAATTTTCTGCTTACCTGCTACTGCCAAGATGAGCGTGTTCGTGAAGTGCCGATACAAAGAAAGTTTCACAACATTCCTTCGAAGTTTTAGCAGCTTCATTGTTTGAGTTAAGCTGATGAATATGTATGAAAAGTCAAGGAAAAACCTCTGAAGGGACAATCTGGTCACAGACTTAGCATGAGGAGACACAGATCTTATGATCAACAGCTCTCCCACCCCCAGAGCCCTCCAAAAAGACAGTTCTCAGTAGAAGAAAAGGTTGATCCTATAGCAAAGGTACCAAAGAGCAGAATCAGTCCCTCATGACTGTTACCTAGTTCATCTACACCTATAACTCTTGTCACACAAATCCAGGCATCTATTTTGGGCTATGGTCCATTCCTCCAGAAAAGTGTCACTTGTACTTCTTATAAAATAAAAGTCAAATTTGAACTAAAAATGAGTTGAAATCCAAGTAATGTATACAGGTGCCATCGCACTTTCTTTTTTATTTTATTCCCAGTGACAAAACAAGTGCTTAGAAGAGATATCATGATAGGGGAGAGTTGTGGTTTTCATGGCTTGGCAGCAAGCTATTCACATTTTAATTTGAGTTTTTGCTAAGAAATAGTGTTCACTAAGAACACTTTATAGGAATTTTGCTATACACGAGTTCAGTACTTAATGTCAGTTGCTAAAGTCACACAAGATTATGGTTGCTTGTCAAGACACCAAAAAGTGAACATCCCCATTTTGTCACCTACTTCAAGATTATTTCAGATTTTACAGAAAGACTTTTAGGTTTGATGTTGCTAAGCAACCTTCTCCTCAAAACATAAACTGAGTCAGTTCTCCAAAGGTTCCTTCTCTGATGCCGTGACATGCTACACTAGAACGAACTGCTTTCACACTCAACAATCAGAGACTGATAACAGACAGACTATATTCAGGAGCAGCTTTAACACACATTCATCCAGTGCAAGAAAAACTAGGTAAGCAGTAGGTAGCAGGAGCTTACCTGAACACTCAAATACAGAAGTTCTATAACCTCTACCAGAAGTAGAAAAAAATATATACTTGAAGATTATTTAAAAAAAAATTCAGCCCAAAAGACTTCCCAAAAAAACAAATTTAAAAGAAAACACACCCCATCAAGTAAAACAGTGAAGGATATCCACCAGCACAGGGCAGTATCTAGGAAAGCCAGGGGAATAAAAGCCAAGGAGGCAAGATCATTCTGGGCCTGGAGACAAAGAGAGAGCCAATAAGAACAAAAAAGAAAACAAGGTACAGAAGTGAGGAGGGTGAGGCTATTTTACGTGAAACCACAAATACACCACCACAATGCTTCTGAGTTTTGCTACAGAAACAGAGGGCTTGAACCAAGAGTTTAGCCCAATGCATAGAGAGGAACTGACAATACCACACTGTCAGTTCCCAGTTCTCCACCAGCAAGGCAAGAAGCAGTTTTCCAGATTAAGTCAATCTAGTGCTGTTAAAAGGAGTCCCTGCTGAGGCAGTTGCTGTGATTAATTGCTCTGGCCACTTCCATTACAGAAATCTAGCAGTCAGCTTGTTAGAGATGTAGTAATTAAGTCTTTTACCCTATCCATGGACAAACTGAAAGTTTCACTGGCAATCCCAAATTTGACTAAAGAGGCAAAACTTGCCTTTGTGTTTACATCAAAAACTATCAAAGTCCTAACAGAAACAAGCAAACCACATTCTTTTTAACTGTAAGACAGAAATAATAAACTGTGAATAAGCTTGTAGCATTCTGAAGTTTACAAAAGGATATCCACAAAATAATACAGGCATCAATCATGGACAGGGCCAAGTTTGCTATCAGAGCCACAGTGTCATAGAAAAACTGGAAAAGTACCAAATATGTGACAGGTTAAAAACCTTATCCCAAAATACCAAAAACAGAACAACAGAAATCTACACCCCAAGATGCACTTCCTAATGAATCCAGGAGCAGCAGTACTTACACATGCTTCCCCAGTCACAGCCTCCAAAACTGGAGTGGTGGGGATTTGGGTTATTTGTTGTTTTGGGTTTTGTTGTTGTTGTTTGGTTTTATTTTTTTATTCTTGGGTAGGGTTTTTTTGACTCATGACCAGGTGACCCAAGCTGTATGTTTGTGTCTGCAACTAGCCCCTACCTAATCCAAAGTATTAGACACAAGGGTCCAGGCTGAAACCTGGCTAATCAGAAAACTAGTAGAATTATTTCAAACTATACAGAATTATATCCTACTAAATAGACAAGACTTAAAATAATTGTCAATAATCCATATCCACAGTCTCAGAATTTAACCACTTCATTGTCTCTTTTCAGCATAGCTCTAGATTTTTCCTTGGCATACAAGTAAATAAAGCTGATAGTGTCTGTGGCATATGGGAAAATTCAAGTAGTTATTACTGACCCCTGTGACTCTAAGAACACCTTCCATGCCAGAAAATAATAGATAAAGAGCTCCAGCCATAACAACTTTGTGAAGAGTAACTCCAAGGCGAGGCCTGTAGGAAAAAAAAGTGAAATTCAGATTAAGTGGGGAACTAAAAGTGAAGTCATGTCAACTTGAGTCTCACACAAGGTATGAAGCACGTGAATAAAAGGTCCTTGTGACAAGCCACTTCTGAATCCAAAAATAATTTTATCATGGTGCTCAAAGCATACTATTAATTTTGTCTTATGGTATAATGTGACCAAGGGAGAGAATGGTAACAGTCCTGTTTCCTAGTTAACCTGCTGAGTATCTTACAACCATTTCAAGAAGTCACACCCCACTTCTACACCAGTTCCCCCAGTACACCCTCACTTGCCAAAAGCTTCCACTACCACACAGTGTGTTGTTTTACCACTGAATATAGTTAGGGATGGACAGATAAGCAGCACTCCTAGCAACAGAAGCCTCCTAAAGCAGATCCCCTCCTTTATCAGTGATTACTGACCTTCTCTAATTTCTATAAGACGCCCTCACCCAGAAGGCAAGCACATAAAGCTCCCATTCCACTCAGGGGAGTATCTCAACAACAACTCAGACACTCACCCAACAGCAGTACACAGAAAAGGATGGAAGGAAGAGTGACAGCAATACAGAACTGTATGTCTCTCTTTACTAGTGAAGAAGTCTACATCTTCACAGCACTTAATTAAAGCATCTACCTTTTAACAAGCAAAGTACAGGGGGATGAATATTGCCCTAAGTTATTAAAAAACAATAGTGAAAACACTTTAAATAGAACACAACAAACCTGTAACAAATTACTTACTTGACTATCCCATATCCCAAGCTGACTATGATGACCAGAGTTCGAGCCAATGATCGCTTCACAGCAGAGAGAAGTTCTGCCAGTATTACTGCTCCTTGAACTACCAAAAGCAAAGAGGAGGAAGTTAGGTTATTAAAATATAATTTCTGTTCTATTAACTACTGCATATGCAATTGTAGCACAAGAGCAGATATAGAAGGTAGGCTACTGAAGTGTATAATCTTTTTATTATCTACATCTGGAGTAAGCTTTCAGAAAAGATAGGTCACTTGGCATAAGAAAAAACCTACTGAAAAAGTTTACATCCACAGAAAGTGGAGAGTAAATGATCCATAAAAGATTTATTCATAGGGTCAGCCTGGATACTCTTCCAAACAAGTCAGCCAATAAAACCTTGTGTGCCGTGGGTGTGGCCAATTAGCAAAGTCATAATGACATTTTACTTGTAGAGTTTCATTTGTATGCATCCAGCTTTAAAATTCAAAACTAGAGTACCCCAGTTTTATGTGAAGGAAATCTCTTAAAATGGATTATCAGGTTGGGCTAAATACCAAGAGTTATCAACAATGCTGTCCTGTTGAACAGTGAGTTTCACACTATCTTTCCAAGGCCAACACCAACTGTCAGAAATTAATTATAAACTACACTTAGGAAGTCCTATTTTAAACTTCAAGCCAGCACTACAATGCCTACTTTCCAGAATCTACCATTCTACATGCCTAAGACACTACACTCAGGAGTCAGACTAAGCAACAGCACTTTAGCTTTAGAAGAACACATAGCATCATGTTTTCAACATATAAAAAAAATACAGAAATTCTGGTTCCCTGTTCTTCATTTTGAAACGATCCTCAAGTAATCATATGCTTAATATGCATGTCACCCCAATTTAGCCTAAGCCATCAGTGCTATGCCCCATCAATTAAACTGGGAGATGCAGCCATCACCTACCAGATTCTCCCGTGTAGCGAATATTCTGGAACTCTGCATAGAAAACTGCTTTCTCAAGCATTCCCAGGAAGATAACGGCACCAATCCAGAACTGGATCCTTAGGAGATCCCGCCAGTAACAGGCTGACCATGCAAGCCATAGAACCCCGAAGAATACATACACGATGCACATCACCATGAAAAACTATTACACAAAAAGAAATAAGAAATAGGAACTTTAGACCCAGAAAAATAATTTCCTTGTTTCCATTCCACAGCTGTAAGACAACTCTATTTTCTCCCCCAGTATAGCAACTTTGGAACTTTTTAAATAGACTGTTTCATCTGTCTTCTCTGCACTCTTTAACATTGACAGTGTGATTTCTCACTGCCAGTCAGAGTAGCTGACTTTCTGAGCAATTGCTCTCTTGAACAGTAGTCTGCCAATTTATTGACAGGCAGCTTTTCTAAGGAAGATATCCTGAGCTACTAGATTTCAAAAACCCAGATAATAATTCAAGTAAATGATCAACTACTAGAAACTCTACTCGTTCTCCCATATTGCTTTATTAATAACTTCATAGTACATTTACAGTAGTCTGCAAATAAACTTACAGGTCACCTTTACACACCATTCCATAGAACAGAGATAAGCAACTAATGCTTGTAAGCCCTCTGTTCAAATAATTCAACAACTTTTCTCAAAAGTTAATTTCCAGTAAACTCAGTTTTTAACCAAGCTTTAGGTCAGCCAAAAACCTGGAATTGAAAAAGAAATCCAGCTTTCATTTAAATATTAACATTGTGCTTTTTGGGTTTTTTTATGGTCCCGTGTTACTTGTTTGAGAAGAACTTTCATGGTACATCTCCTACAGCAAACAATAAGCTTGACAACGCTACTCAATAGTAGATTTTCTAAAGGACAGCATCATACCAGAGCAAGTTAAATTTTCAAAAAGCACACTAAGAGGGATTAGAAGGAGAGTAAGACATTAAATGAATAGCAGGAAGTACTTAGCCAAAGTAAACAAGCAGTCTCCTCTTCCAGAAGGAAGATTTTTTTTTTTAAAGCAAGAAAACTGAAATTAGCTGCACAATCCATCAAAACTTTCACAAACTGAAAAACCTTCCTTACTTAGGAGAACAGGTTACTGATCCTTACAGATTTTCACATCTGACTAACCCATGCAGTTCAAATGCTAAAAACCTAGGCATGATAGTTCATGAGCAGATGCTCCATTATGGAAACATTTAGAGAGACAGACCTTTTTCTGGACCTGTCACATGGAATATTCACACTGGTGAATTACATTTCAATAGAGCTGCTGGTGGCTTTTTATTTCTGCAGGAAGTAAAATGTGTTTCAGAAATGCTGTTTACAGGTCATTCTTGCCAATAAAGTCAGGTTAGAGACTTTGCTTGTTGTTGATCCCCAGCTAAAGTTTGCCTTCACTACATTAACATTAAAGATTTTTTATTTTTCAGCCTTCTCAACAGAGGAAACTAGCTACCAACTCAATAACTCCTTTGAATAAAAAGGGGATTAGCTCTTTGTAGCTCAATTATGCTTTCACTGTTAGGTAGTATTAAAGATCTCCTCATGGGGTGTGAGACAGCTGGTGGAAGAAGGAAGATTAAGCTGTAAAAGAACAAAGAAAGCAGTGACAAATGAAAGGGTAGCTGCAAACAAAAGCATGGAATAGCAAATTTTGTAAGATGTGAGCTAAGGCGAATAACAGCGTCAGTAAAACTCAGTTTAGAGCTAACAATACTGATAACTTCAGGAACTACAAATTAACATCCGTTAATTCAAACAATCCAGAAAAGGACAACATTAGTGTCGTGTGCAAGCATTTGAAATCTGTATCTGTTTTCCCTATCCTGTACTGTACAAAAAGAAAAAGCAAACAAAAAAAAGCCAAAAACCCCTCAAAACAAATAAACTAAAAACCCCACCAAACCCCAAAACACCCTCTGCTAAGTAACTTTTTCTCCTGAGACACTGGTTCTGTGTTTCCTGAAATATGAAAGCAGAGTATTTAACTGACATTCAAATCAACTGACAATTTTACAGATCAAAGAAAAGCTGGTTTACTTACAATCATCAGAGGATAGTCTGCAAGTGAGAGATACTCATACGGCCCCTTCAGTTCTACTGTCACTGTAAAAAGACAATCCAATAACCAAATTGAACAAGAACCAAAAGAAGGAAGCCAGGACTTAAATGATTTTCACTCAAGCATAAAGAAATTACATGTCTTCACATAGCTTTTAAATCTAACTTGCACTTTAATAAAGAAAGTTAAGACTTAGAACACACTCAGCTAAAAGCATGCAATTAAAATTACACACTCCATTACCAAGTAACTCATAGCAGTACTTCAAAGTAATTTTTGCTGGAGATTCATGTGTAACAAGAAAAATTCAGAAACACACGTACGTTAACTGCTTAAGGGGATTTTCAAACTTCTCTGAAGTTTGAATAGGTTATCAATGGACAGTTAGGGATCTTATAATATATCAAGGCAACAATTATGATCTTAGTATTCTACATGTTTTGAGTTTATTAATATAAATCACTCTACTGGTCTGCACATTTTTTAAAGAAAACACCAAGTCTCAAAATTGAAATGCTTTGGATTCCTCTTTATTTCCATCAGTAAACAGACAGAACAACAGTCTTAGGATCTTCAAGACACTAGCAAGCACCTATTTTCTTACGATAAGAAAGAGCTGTAGTAATACCTAAGTGAAGTGAAAGATAGTGTCTGATGAAATTGAACCATACACTATATATTAAAAGTACCTTAGAATACACTCAGACTGGTAATACATAAAAATAGTGCTGTATATTCATATTTCTATATAGACAGCTATCTTACTTGTAAAGAGTTTATTTTGAGATGAGGAAGGTGTTGTCCTCTCCATTCTTTTAACTCTGGTAATAGAATCCTTTGCAGTTGTACTTCCAATTTGCACAATAAATATATATGGCCCATCTCGCCAAGTTTTCATAACAGCATTCATTGCCTGAAAATAAAACATCTAAACGTTAACAGTGCACAGTAAGAAGACAAAGAAAAGACAGAAGTAGACTAGCCACACATGGGTGATATCTTACATGTAAATATAAAGTTCACCTCTTCTGAGGCATAAAACTTGTTAATAAACATTTGATATGTAAATTTTAAATGTATTTATTAGACATAATACTTAAAATTTAGTTGTTTGAATGCAGAAGAATCCTCAAAGACTTGGGAGGTGACCACAGCTTTTTTTTGCAAATTTGCAAATTTAATACTGGCTTACTGCAAGAGTACTCAAAGGTTCTGTAAAAGCTACAAAGAACTCAGGAGAGCATCCTAATTCTTCTTTTCAGACTAGAAGCATTAGGACCATCACAGAGATAAGTACTTCCTGCTGCAATCAACTGCTTGGGAACTGCACAGCTACATATAACTCAGCTCCCTGGTGAAGGCTGAATTTTACAGTGTAAGATAGAAGAGGTAGCTGAGAGATTTCCATAGTAGTCATTTCCTATGGACACTACTACTGCAGTCCCTGCAGCAGCTCTCACACCTGTAAGACTCAAATCCTGCCAATAAACTAACAGAGTAAGCTTGTCCAGATAAATATTTGCGCCATAAAACAAATCAGAGATTTCTTTGATTTCCACAACTGAAGAAGTTCTAGCTATCTCAGAAACTGCAATATTTACCAGGAGCTTTAAAGTTAAAACTATCTACATGTATGCCACTCACATGACTACTGCAGAACTGCCACAAAGACTCTTTTTTTATAACGCCCTCTCCAAGAGAATTTCAGTATTAAGAGCATGCATTTCCTTTAAGAAACCTCCTGACTGCAAGACCTAAAGCACATTATGTATAAAAAAAAAATCTGCTAATATTGACTGAAAATAAAACTTATTTAGAAACACAGTAAACTCAAAAGAAAATGGGTAAAATTATATACACCAGTTTTGCCTTTAAACTATCTCTCTCTCTTGTTGAATTGATTCCTTATTTCACAACTGCACACAGCTATTTATGTTTTAGCTTTAAAGTGAATGGCCTTTAAGTACACAAGGAGTTAAATACATTTTCTTTCTTGGCATCCAGGACGATCAACTTGAAGCTATTTTGACAATTGTTCCTCCTTGAGTCTTGAACATAATATATAATAAAAATACTAACAGGTTTGAAAATCAAGAGTAATCAGTCAACTTGCTAGGTACAATGTTTTAAAAAAATTGACTAACAATAAAACCAAATGTATTCTGTAAGAATTAGTCACCATTTAAAACAGGTATTTTCAATTATTATTTTAAATTACAATGGAAAAAGAAAATTATTTGTTAATTTATACCATTGGTTTGAATGGTATGAGTTCTATATTTCACATACAGAAGAAGCAGTTACTCTGTTTCTGTTATTCTGCTTTCTGATTTTCCATACAGCACTACCCAGTTTCAAGCTAAAAAATTCCAGATGTCAAAAAAACCCATAAAATATCCTACCAATAATTTCTTTGTATACAAATAAATATAAATTTAAAAACCAAACCAAAACAAAAAAAGACTACTGGATTACAAGCCACGTTTAAATTCAGTATACATACAGTTTTATCTGTCACCATGGTGTGATTTCCTGTGCTCTCCTTCTTATCTTTTAAGCCCTTAGGGAAACAAAAAACACATCACAGAAAAATGGATAAATCGATATGTCAAAATTATGTCTTCCATGACTATACTCACTCATTAGAAGGGAAGAAAAATTACCTCTTGTTTCTCAGGTGAGAGAGGTTCTGGATGAACAAATTCTTTATAGAAAATCTGCAGGATACAAGAAAGGTACAGCATTTACTTTAACGTTTATAGGCACTTTACACATCAACATGACCTTACCAGAACAGCTTCCAGTAAACTTGATTATTCTCTGAATACCTGTATTAGAGAGCTTTCATTTTGATAAATCAACTGTCCATTTGTGGAGGTAGTCTGGTTTTCATCCCCTCAGATAACAGGTATCTATTTTTAGAACCCATAGACATGAGAGTAGTGAAGTTAATTTTATTTTCCAAATATTAATCTGTTGGGTATCCCCATTACTAGATAAATTCTACGCAGACAGAAACAGGATTTTGAGATTTCTGCCTTAATCTATGAAGTAAAAAGTTCCTAGATGAGTGAGTGCCTATTAGAGATCCAGATTTTGCCAACTCTTTTAAACTACAGTGACTCAAAATCTAGTCAAACTGCTATACCACGAGAAAAAGCCTGAACAATCAGAAGAAATTTCTGTGAAACTTCAGAAATTAGTATCTGAGAGGAATATATTTTGTTAGAAATTCAGTAGACTTTTCAAAGGAATTGGATAATAATTCACTTAAAGACTTTTAAAACCCCAGTTTCACAAACCTGAACATTCAGTTAAGTTGCCTGAATTCATATTACACAGCTAAACCCATAAGATCTCCTTTATAAAACCCAGTAAAAACAGACTGACACTTGTCATATTATTAAACATAAAAAGCAGGCAGCATGTAGTTTTTTCTTTCTTTTTAAAAACCTTTCAAGCCATCTTCACACATCAGAGGAACTAGAGGCATTGCAAACAGACTATTAAAAACACTTTTCAAGTCATCTTTAGACACGGCCTTTTTCTTAAAAAAAACCCAAAACAACAAAACAACCAAAACCATCAAAAAACAACCCACAACACTAAGTTCAATAGCTATGAGACATTTCCCAGTATTCTCTATCCATAAACTTGTTCAGATCAGGAATGGTTGAACACAGACGCAACACTCCACAATTTGCCTTGAGTTCTTACGTACACCATTAAAAAAAGAAACCGTGTTACACTGCCATTGCCATGAGCAGGATGGCACAGCTTTGCCTGCTGATGTACAGCCAGCATAGGGCCGACATCTGCACTTTGCTCCCGCACTCATTTTGCATCGTCTTCTCGCTTCCACTTGATCTGTTTCAAACGAGCACTACTATTTTTCAGTTTTAACCTGCTATCAGTGCTTAAGTAATTAACTTCTCAACACTCATTTCCATTATTCTAAATTAACATTATCTGAGCAATAAATGACAATCCTTTATTGACCCAAATTTAGTGGGATCTTTACTCTGTTGCCACTTCTACACAACTAGCAGTAGCCTCCCATAAGCAAAAAATATTTGGAACACAAAACCACAAACAAAAAGAAGCACTGAACTTTACAGTGGTTTGGTTGGGATTTTTTTTCCACCATAGTGAGCCAGATGTTGAATAGCAAGCCAGAAGTAAAGCGAAACTAAGAAATCATCATCACAGCCTGGTTGTCATAAACAGATAAAAAGCAGTACCTCCCAACCTATAGTGACACTTACATAGGATGCTAACACATCTAACAAGAATTACCACCTTCTCTATATATTGTATGAGACAACAGAGCAAACTGTGAAATTTCTACCCATACCTGAGGCCTAAAGAGCTCAGAGCAATTTGGAAAGAGAAGAGAAGCAGTGGCATAGTATCCTGACCAACCCGGATGCTCTTCAGCTGTGGCCCCAAAATAGTTATCTGCTTGTTCATCCTGCCAAACATAGAGTAGAACTTAGATTAACATCCAATATTTCAAATGGTTTATCTAAGTAGACAGGTGCAAGACCTGGAGAGCTTCACTCTGCACACACTCTTGAACCAAATTTAACTGAATAAAGGCCATTGAGACCACACAAGACTATAAAAATGACAGCATACAGGCTCTGAGTAAGAACTAATACAGTGGAAGTGCAGTAGCCAGCATAAACTTCAGCCTACACAAACTCTACATTATTATATTAAAGATTTAAGACTCAGTCTTGTGCTAGATTAGTAGTTACAACTGTCATAATTAATATTTAAAGCAAACATGGGAAAGTATAAGCCATATGAAGCACAATTGTGTTCTACAGCATTTGACAGAAACACTATACCTTCATACAAATTGCTAATACTTACAGTGTGCATACATAAAGAACAGAATTCAGACTAAACATGAAAAAACTCATTTTTTTCTATTCACTGTCATTAAGCATTGTTGTAAGTATTTTCAACTAGCATAAACTCACACTCTTTAGTTTAGTCAATGTACTTATTTAAGCTCCTGGGTTTAGAACAATTCTAACACTTCCACCTTACCCAAAACCCAAAAAAAGTCAGCAATTGCAGCAAGCTGTTGATCAATTCCATTTCATTTCAGAAATTTGTTATCTTCCAATGGAAGAATTTGTCTTTTATGCTCAAATCGCAATGTGGATGCAAGAGCAACATCTCCAATTGCCTCCCCACTAGATTTGCTTACCCTGAAAAAAATCTAACCTATGTTTTTCCATGCAATTCTTACCCCAAAGTTGAAGACTTCATTGTAGCAGTCAGAATATCTTAAGTACCAAGTAACATTGAAACCTAAGGAAGGATCACAAGCTTTTTCATCGCCTTCAACTAAAAAAAAAAAAACAAACAAAAAAAACCACCAGATAAGAATACGTAAGACACTGTCTACCTTCCATGCTTTTCCTTCCAATCTGTGCAAAACTACCATAATTACATTTTAAACATGAAACTGAAAACAATAGAAAAACATTTTCTTCAAGTAACCCATTACTATTCAGTGAAAGAAAGCAAGCACAGAATTCACTATAACATCATACAATTCTATTAAAGAGCTGAAGATCATTTGGAAACCTTTTGTTCTGAAGACAATCAGGGATGTTTCTGCAACTGCAAATACCAAACAAGAGAACAGCAGTGACTCTCAGTGATTACAACATAAAAAACCAGCCTCCCTTCCAGAGACAGGAGGGACACACACCAGTAAGAACAGGATAATACTAAGAGCAATTTGCACAAAAAATTAAAATATATCAATACCATCACCAAGAAAATAACAAAAAGGTAAGATTTTGCAAGTCAACATCCATCCCCCCAAAAGACAAACCAGCCATCTATACATTCCCTCTTGCTGCTGATGCTGCAATGCTACCTAAAACAGCAATAAGACAACTTTCCACTTTGATTTATTAGAGAACAACATGCACAAAAGTGAAACCTAAGATCTTCCCCCAGTCAGGAAAATGTTTTTTTTGTGTTTCAAATCTTAAACTAGAAGCTGATGAAGACAATTTGACATTAAGAAGGCAAGCTTCACCTTAAACAAAATGAGCAGCGATTATTCTGGAAGAGCCATTTAGATGATTATGTTTGCATTTTCCCAGTCAACAGATGGCAAAACTCTTTTGAGTTAACAGCATGTTTGCAGTGGCTAAGAAGCTCCCACAACTTCACAGGCACATTCATCTCAGACTTTGTTACAAGCACACTTTTAATGAACGTTTCCATACTGCTCACTGCAGGTAAAAAATGCAATTAGAAGAAAGACCCTGCCATGGAATCTTAATTGACTAATCCCACTTTAAACCTCATGACTACTAAAGCATGTATATGTAGAGCTAAGAAATCAACAACAGTTCCTAATACCAAAGGTTTAAGGAAAATGACTGAAAAATAAGTGTCCTTATGACACCTCCTAGTAAGCATGGAAACAAGGCATACATGTTCCTCGTTTTCCTAGATGTTGCAGAGGACACAACAAAGAAACTAAAAGACAAGACAAGCATTGCAGTGACATGGGTAGATGGCAAATTCTTTGATGACAAAGGCTCTTCTAATAAAACTGATCGAATGAGGAACATCTCAAAAAAAAGCTAGCAAAAGATTCAAAAATACCTTTTAAATACCTCTCTATCTATTAAAAATAGAAAAGCAACTACATATTCAGCAGTAGTACCCACTAAAGGTAAAACAGGTCATGACTAGAAAAATGCGCAATATCTGCAAACATCAAAACTACAGAAACCTTGAAAAGGAAGTACTCTAAAATAGAAAAAGCATCCATGGCATTTACTGAATTCAGCAACGTGGAAATCTAAGTTCCTCAGCCTTCAGAAAAAAGCCAGCAACATTCAACTTGAATGTAATCTTTGTACTCATTTACAGAGAGCAGGGTTTCTACCATGATCCTAAACAAGAAACCAAATGCCTTCTAGAATAGCACTTCAGAAAAGTAGTAGATAAAAATAAATTCATTATTGACAACACTAAATGCCAGCAGCAGTCTTCCCAGCCAGAACCAGAAAGCATCAGACACTAATATAGTACAAATATACCAAAAAAAGTCAAGAAGAGGAGAAAAAGAGACAGTGGAAAAGGAGATGCAGGGGCTCACCAAAACCATGGATGACCCATGAGCAATCATGTTTGACAAGGGTAATACTGTCCACACAAACATCACACAGCAGATGGAAGAGGCAACAGACACCAAACAAAAGGAGATCAGTTTCCACAGAGACATGGGCAGAAAAGAAAAAATATGCAAAGTTGAAGTTTCTCAGTATCAAATCCAGTTTAAATATCATCTAGGCTGAGAAACTGAGTAAGTTCACAGCCTTTGTTCCTTCTTCCCATGATTCATTATCCAAATTCATGTAAATCTTTTAATCACACTGGTATGTAAAACAAGTGTCTTCACTAAAGAATTTTAAGACTTAATGCCTGTTTAAGGGTGCAAGCACAGTGTAGTTCAAGCCCACATCAGGAGCCAAGGGATCGAATTCTTATACCAGATCCACCTTTTAACAAACAAATGTTATGCCTTAGTTCCTTCTCGCAGTTATTTCAGCATGATTAGACTTACCACATACTTCACTGCAAGGACCCATGTCTCAGATGCCATATTACTACAAGTACACTATTTCTATTAAACTTTAGGAAAGAACCTAAAACCAACCAAAGCTCCAAATGCCCTTTCAAACCCCCCTCCTTCTCCCCAAGAAGAAGATTCCTACCTTTTGATCCTGCAGCTGTAAACTCACAATTGTCTCACTGCAAGAAGCAAACCTTAGCATTTGAGCTACACTTGACAAGTGGGAAAGCCTTAACCCTGATATGATGAGTGTTCACTAACAACCACTCAAATACTAGCCTCCTGTTTCAGATTAATGTGGGATCAGTGAAGGCACTTAACAGACTTTATTTGAAACACTGTCCCAAGAAGAGCAGGTATTGGAAATTAAACCTGAAAAACAGCAAGGTAAGTACTAAACATAACAGAGCACAGCAACATGCAATTTCATCAAGTATTAGCCAAACCCCACAATACCTTAATTTTCTCAGTTAAAAAGAATACAATCACTGCAGCAACTAAGTCTTGACGTGACAGAGGCACAGATTCCACTCATTGTCTCTTGTGAGACTTTCACTTCCTCACTTGCTACAAGTGCAGAAGGGCATTCACAGGCATTGTACCTGTGTAAGCACCCAATTAGCAGACAGAAACCAAACAGCTTCCTCCCCCCACCTCAATGGTAAGAACCAGTGCAGACCAGCTTCCCCCTCCATGGTGCAATCAACCTCTCAAAGCGCTCAAAGCACATGGCAAAGATTTCAAGCCTTTCAAAGTCAGCTAGTCCCTTCTACCACTCACCTACATCATCTTACTGCCATCTAAATGCTGTGCTCATGTTCACAGGTAAGAGGGTATTTCACAGAAACTCTCCTTTGAGCAGTAACCTACATAACCCATCGACCTGGCCAGATCAGCAACGAGCAATATGCAGAAAAAACTGAAAGGCTGCAAACATGTTTGCTCTGTAGCACAGCTGCACACTGGGATCAGGAGAAGAAAACATCTCTCAGGAGATCTCTGCCATAGTGTGCAACATTCCCTTACCACTCCCAGAAACACTCAGCTACAAAGGAACAAGTCCTCAAAAAGCATTGCCTCCTGTACAGTGGCATCAGTCACTCTGCAATACAAACAGCCCCTGTCCCAGTCAGCACCAGATCTCCCAGTCAGAGGAATTTAGCAAATCTTCAATAGGAAAAGCACACCTCACAGTACAGCTCAGCACATCCCACACCTGATTACCCCCTGTCTGAAATGAACTGGTGCTCCCATTACCCTACAGAGGGCCTGAAGAGCCATTCATTTTTGCTCCAGCCTAAACAGATCACAACTGAGAAGCTTCAAGGCTGTTAATAGACCCAATCATATCAGAGCTATGGCTTTCATACAGTGCTAGATGAGCTGTCATGGTAGCTAGTGCAGTTTAACACTTCACAATGTTTTAAGTCCCAAATGTTAAAAGTAGGAGGGGTGTCCAAAAGAAGAAAAAGCAGGTTAATCCCTTATAACCACTTACATCTCAGGAAAATGGTGGTGTTGCTGAAGAGAATTTTCCCAAAGTTAAACTTCTTCCCCTGTAAAGGCGCAAAAACAGAAGAGACATTAGTGAGCTTAATGTCACTGAGCTTAAGTAAACATAATCTTCCATTCTGTTTTAAGTCAATACAGTAACGAAAGCAAATGCCAAATCTGGAGCCAGACTTACTGGACTTTCCAGTCATGCTTCACCACCCCTTCAACACACTCTTAAAGATGGTTTGAGAGGCTTGGGGCTTTTTGTTCTGTAAACGGAATTAATTTCACACTGACATTTGTTGAAACCATTACCATTTTCTTGCTGATGAGACAGTCTGGACTATTCAACAAAAAAAAATTTTGTTCTAAGAACCAAAAGAAGCATTTGCCATGATCCTTCAGTTTTGTTCCCGAAGCTCAAGGGTCTCAGAGAAAGCACACATTACTCCTACCGCCACGTAAAGACAGATCTAAAGTGAGGCAAAACAGCTTTCCCCCGCACAACTGCAAGCTTTGTCAGAAGTGCCGGAATTCCCTTCACCTTCCCTAAGGCCCGCACCTTTCTCGGTCCAGCGTTCCCGACGCCAGGCCCCGGCGGTGCGGGCCGCCAGCCCGGCCGCAGGGCGCCTTCTCCCCGCACAGGCCCTCCCAAGGCCGAGCACCAGTCGGGGAGACCCTCCCGCTTTCCTTCCTTCCTTCCTTCCTTCCCTCCCTCCCTCCCTCCCATATCACGGCTTTCACACGGGGCCGCGACTCCCGTCCGCTGCCCATCGAACTATTTCCCCGACAAAGCCTTCTCTCCCCGCCGCCACGACCGACGCCGCCAACAGAGGGCCCAGCCTGGCAGCGGGGAAGGGGGGTAGCCACGGCCCTGAGCCCGAGCACGCGCCCCGGGTGCGTCAGGCTTCAAAGAGGAAGCGGCTCGGCAGGGACCGGCCACCCGGCCGCAGCCCGAGGGACGACGCGCGTAGCAGCCTGCGGCCTCTTGCCCCTGTTCCCGCACACGTTCGCACCCCCGACCGCCGCCACACCCGCCCGCCCGGCGGCTGCGGGGCCCGCCGCGCTCCCCCACATCACCAGGACACCGGCATGCCGCCATTGAGCGCTGCCCGGCGCCCACCCGCGCCCAGCCAGCAAGCGAGCATCGCGCCAGCAGCCGCAGCAGGACGACTCACGGGCCCGCCGCCGCCCCCCGCACGCGCGCCGCCGCCATCAGTCCGCCGTACGGAGCCGCCGCGCTGGCCGCGCCTCTTCCGCTCCTCGCGGGGACGCGACGGCCGTGGGCCGGCGGAGCGGCGCGGGACCGGAGCGCTCCCCGCCTCGCCGGGCCTGTCACCCTGCTCGGCGGCTGTCACTCGTCGATGACTCGAGTTCTGCGTTCGGGTCCCAGCATATGACTTCGTCACACGGCTGAGCGCCCCTGCGCCGCAGCCCCTCCGGCCTGGCCACAGGCCCGCCAGCGGCGTCACCCCTTCCCTGCCGTCCGATGCGGGGGTCGCTCGGAAGACAGCCCCGCCATGGAGGCGCCACGGCCAGGGAAATGTCAGTAAACGCTGCTGGTAGGTGACTCCTTGGCCCGATCCTCTCCTCGCTTCCTCCGGTGTTGCCAGACCGGCTCCCCGGTTTCTGTGGAGAGCGGGCCCGGCTCCCGCAAGTGTGCCGGGGGTGAGGGGCGGGGCGAGCGGGGCCGTGGCGATGCTGTCCCTGGCGCCCTGCCCGGGCAAAGTCCCTGGCGCCCTGCCCGGGCAAAGCCTCCCCGCGGCCCGGGCCGCGGAGCGGGACAGCTGCACCGCTGGAAGGCAGGCGAGCTGCAGGGTTTTAAATGCGGCAACAAAGTCCCACGGACTTGGAGCAAAACCTGAAAGGACGTATGTGTCTTCAGGCAAAAATAGGAATGGCTAAATTGTCTAAATATATGGGTTCTGTGAGATCTCCAATAATAATCCAGGATCTGTAATTGTGACTGAGTTTCAATGGCTGCCGCCTGAATTTTCTATGTTGCATGTATGTAATTAGTAAGTATTCTCTAAGCATCAGTGCTTTGTCTACCAAACTAATACCTTATTCACTTCCATCTGTGTCTGAATTTAGCACGATCTGGAAAGTATTTTGATGATAGACACTACTGGCAGCCCATTTTTTTCAGGCAACCCAAAAAATTAGTGTTATCTAATAGATCTAAAAGTTACCCCAAGACTAGAGATAACATAGTGCTGTCAGCAGGGCCATCAGAAGCCCCCCTTCCTTGTCGGTCCCACTAAAGGTAGAAGAGGAGTGTGCAGGATTTCTTCCTTTCTGCCAGTCCTGCCTATTTCTCCATTCTTTTTACTGGAACATAATAATTAACTGTAATGACTGCAGAGAGAGGTCTGGCTTCAAAATGCAAACCCCCCCAAGAATTCAGTCATGCTGAAATTCAGCTCCATTAGTCATAGAATCAATCATTTCTTAAACTTTCAAAGTTTAAAAGGAAATGGTTCAGCATGGAACTAAATGTGTAAGAAGTTCTTCCCATATCTCAACACAGTAGTTCAAATTTCAACACATTTTATGTTGGATCAGAGTTCTCTGCATTGTCTTTAATCCTGACCTGTCTTGAAGAGGAACCCTGACATCTCATCATTCAGCAGGTGTTCGGTGAACACAAGTAAACTCTTTATCTGCTCTTTCTAGTGTACAAGATGAGGCTGTGGACAAAAGCACCTTTAAGAAATGCAACCAGATTGCTTTTTACAGGTAAGGAGAATTGTAGACTGGTGGTTGTTTCTAAACTAGTAATATTAAAAGATACAGGAAGTAGTTACACATTGATTCTTAATCATAACAAGTCTGCTGTTTTCAGGATTTATCTTTCAAAGTGAGCATTCCACTCACCTATCAGCAAACAGTAATCACCATATTTAAAAGGTGTAATCTTACATCCAAAATGTCTTCTTTTAATATTCAAAAGAATCAGTCCTCTCATCTGAGTAAGCTCCAGCAATATTTTAACTATAGTTCCACTCAGATGCAGGTTGTTTTCTTGATGTGGATGTTTTTTGACTGTCTGTAGTTCAAAACAGCAAAACACTAGTAGAAACCATTAGTCTGTGACAATAGCATACATGATTACAGTCCTGTTGAGCAAGTACATTGGCCAGAATTGAGTGTCAAATCTAAATTCTAGTTCACTAGTCTCTTAAAGCTAACCTTATGTTATCTTTCTAATCCTATTTCTAACTGTGATACCTCTCCTCAACCTTTTTTACCTCCCATCCTCCGTTGTCTTCTATCCTGTGCTGCCTGACTGAAAGGAATGATTTCCCAGTGTTACACCAATTAGTCACTGATGTACTGGGTTACAGTCTCAGATATTCATATCTGTTCTGCAGGAAATTATGTTCAGAAAACAAACAACAAAAAAAAATTTCAGTGCGAGCACAGCTCCTTTCACACCAAAACTTTCTAGAATGTCACCATTTAACATAAGACCTCTAATTTCTCAGGAGGAGTTTGCTACACATTGGTAAGTATCAGATCCTGCCTTTGCTCTGCTTTTAGAAGAAATCCTTTAACTGATTGCTCACATTTGTGTTCCTGTTTGCAAGGAAATGAAATCAGTTTACTACTGAAGAAGCTTCTTTTTAAGGTAGCCTCTAAGACACTTATCTTCAAAAAGTTCATAAAACCTGGGCTCGGCAAGGAGCATTCTACAAACAGCTGAAAGAGCCTCTGTTTCAGGGTTTCTGTCCTAAAAACATTATTGGGGCCAAAAGCCACAGTTAAATCTCTGTAGTCAGCAGACATGTTGAGAAACAATTTCCACAGTATGTATTCAGGAGGTTACAAATTACAAACATACACTGCTTCATCACCACAGAATGTAAAAGCTGTTCACCAGGGTTGCTGAGATATGTGACAGAAAATGCAAAACAGATTATTGAGCTGAAATTTCTGGGATCAATGAAAGAACAGTAACTGTAGAGCTAAGAATTTAATTGGACACTTGAATTAAGACTACTATTGTTTAAAAAAACCCTATAGAGTGGTGATGAGTGACCAATCCCCTCTAACATCTCATTCATAAACATTTATGTCTGCTCAGAACTATATTTCTTTTTTTCCAATTTGACTTGAAGTGTTGATAACTGTATTTGAAAAAAAATCAAGACAAAATTATTAAGTAAACATTTCTACCAGTACTATGTCCCTCTATGTGATATAAACTACAAGAATTAGAGAGACCAAAAATAATTTTCTGTCTTGACAGGCGTCAGAAACTGTTATGTCCTGGAAAATCCTCGTATCAAGCATTGTTGGATTCAGTCACATTAAGTGATGAGAATGTCAAATTCCAAATTATTCATGAGGAGACTAAGGTGAGATCCCACCTTGCATAAGAGGGTGCTTACAGAAAGAGCAGTAAATATTATCAACAGGACTGATAATATTTGCAGATTTTAAGATTCTTCAGTGATAGATATTTAAGATGTAATGCAAACTATAAGCCTAAATATGTCCTTACTGGTCAGTACTTATTTGACAGCTTGAGGCTGTGCAAGAGAAAGAGGTATTTTAAGGAACTTAAAAAAAAATTAATAGCTTTATGAAAAATGTGAATAGAAGTCTTTTTAGCTGAAAAATGGTTTCAATTCAGAGTTTTCTCCACTATTTTGAAATAATAAATTCTTTTTCTGTAATGGAATAAGAGGACATATATTCCAGGACCTCCTAACCATGCCTTTGTATTCCTGTGTTTGCTCAAAGGCAGTTTTTTGGAAAAAAGAAGTCATCTTTGCATTTAAGACGACAAACAGGAAGATGAGGGTCTTCTATTCCTCTATTTTAATGGCATAGCAGCTGGCACATTTACCCAGGGAACAGACAACCTAACCCATGCTCAGATTATGAGAGTTTGAAACTACAATTCACTTCCATGCTCTAACCATCACACTATGTAGATACTTTTCATAAAGATGTTTTCTGTCTCTCTTGTTAATCCTAACCTTCTTTTCAGTCAGCACAGAAAAAGGAGCCTATTTTTTGTCTAGATTTTAAGGAATATGAAAGACTGAAGAATTCTGTGGCTTCCTAGACTATCTGGGGGTTTATACAAAGATAGCATAATGTAAAATATCTCCTAGGAAGCAGTGCCTGGAATTCCAAATGAATCTTTTCTGTCTTGCCTACTTTTCTTCTGGTTTTATGGCTCTTGCATACTTTCATGCCTTTGAAGAGAGCAGGATTGATTGGCTTCCACATAGTGGGAAAAGATATCAGGCTAAAATTCTTCAGCCAGTTTTGTGTCTCAAAGGAGGAGACATTAAGGAGAAAAAAAAAAAAGAAACAAAAAACAAAACAGAAAAAATCAGACTTGTGGTGTCAGGATCCTCTATGGAAGAAAAGTAAGTAATTTTTCTAGAATAGGGTGACTTCCCAGATCCCTGAACTAAAAAATAGCAAATTACAGTGAGTAGGGCAGTATTAGCACATTTTCTTTAGGTGTCTTTCTGACACAGTTGATCAGTGTCAGCACTGTGCTGCTACTAGTGAAGACAGAGCACTGATGTTTTTGCAAAAAGTCCACATCTCAGGATTTTACCACTCTTACATTGACAGCATAGTAGTGAAATTGTACTAACCTTGAGATTAGTGTACACTGTTGCTGTTTTCCACGTTGCTGTGGGGAGAGAGCTGCAAACTGCAGCTATGTGCACTTTGTAAGTTGAAGATAAAGAGTTTGCTTAAAAAACATTGCTTCTTCGAAGGGGTGGAGTAGATTTAGCTGGTGTAAATTCATATGGATAATGATTTTTACTCAACAGTGCTAAAGAACATTAGATCAGAGAGCAGGCATGTTCGTTTTTTTCCAGACAGTAAGTGTTTGGTGATATTGTGTTAAAAAATATGTTGATATTTTTTATCACTAACAGTTTATTTGTTTGCTCCCAGGTTCTTCTACAAGTAGAAATTTATGAAATAGAAGGCAATATTTTCAGGCTTAAAATTGATGAGGCTTCACCTCTCAGAGCAAGATACAAAGTTCCTGATGTTCTTATAAAGGAACCTACCACCCAGAGGTAAGTGATGGGAAGATGATTTAGCACCTTAGTAACTTACACAGCTTCATTTGCAAGTGTTTTTTCTTTGTCCCTCATTTACGCACAGTACAGTTGTCTCTCTACAATACAAAGTTGTTACAAGAATTAAAAATAAAAATGCATGTGGTTAATTTACTTTCAAAAATTCATGTTAAATACATAGGAGGAAGTTTTGTCATACACAAAAGAAACCTGAGGCTATTTGACCCAATCAGAAAATAGCCTACCTGTTACAATGTATTGTTTTTACCTAAGGCATTATATGTTAATGTGACAGGAATGCAAGCTCTGGATAGTTTTCACAGCAGTTCTGTAGCCACTTGTTGCACTATGCAGTGAACCCCAAGCACAGCATGTATTTCAGGCATTCTTTGCCTCAACATTAGCCTTGAGGTTTGTGTAATGCATGCCGATATTCTTAGTCCATCTTTTGTTTCAAATTGTTATTTAGTTACAGTGGATTCACGTGTTGCGGTTGTTGCTTTTCATTTGCCAGACTCTTCATATCCCACAAGGAGGCGGGTATTCTGGCACTGTCAAGTGGTAATGGGGACTACAAACTTCAAGTCACAGCAGACCCCTTCCAAGTTGAGCTGCAGTCCAAGGGTGAGACTGTTATGAGCATGAATTCCAATGGGTTGTTATATTTTGAGCACCTACAACCACCTCCCAGTGATAGGTACAGTATCTGTCTATTGCATCATCATATGTGCTGCTTGTGCTGTAGCTGAAAATAAACAATTCTATGGAATTGCAGTTCCTGAAAGCTCTTATGCATTAAATTCTGTGTTCTCTTTTACTTTGTAAGTTTAGCAAGTATATGAAGTTTTAACAAACAAATTCCAGATTGACTAGCTGCAGACTGTTTTAATCCCTTGCAGCAGGCATGTGCAAAATGCTAACCTCATTTAATAGCCAATTCTGTAAAACACTAAAGTATCCTGGTACCCCTCGTATTTCTTGAGAATGAGTGATAGTAGTATGATGAGGTTATTAGTTTCATCTTTTTTATCACTAAACTTACTCTTTAGGTAAGTTTTATTCACTTTATAAGCTCTTGAAGTGAAGTTTTGTTCAACTTACAATGTGCCATGTAGCTGCAAGATTTGACAGGTCAATCACACTGCAAAGTGCTGGAAGGATGAGAAACCACAGTGCAGGACATGTCATGACTAGAAAAAGAGCATAGCAAGTGTATCTCCTGTAGAGCATTATTTCAAAACCAGAATGATAAAGAAGTGAGGATCTTCTGGGTCGGTAAAGTGCTTATACAGATAGAAATAAACACGAAAGGCCAAGAAGTCAACCTAACTCAAATATTGAGTGAAGTTTATTTTAAGGCATTGAATGTTAAAATTGTTTGCAAGTTAAAGTTCTCAGCTATGAAATCAATTTTCAGAATAGTCAAGCACCAAAACTCTTAGATAATGTATAAAGCAATGCACAGTACTATTCAAGTTTTCTGTTTGAAATCCTTGCTTATATTAACAATAAACTGATTATTTCTGTGTATTTGTGTTCACTAGAAAACCTACAGCACAAAGTGAGGAGGCAGCAAGTGATTACTTTAAGGTAACTCATACTTACTGCAATTGCAGCATGAATGTTTTGTAAAATAAGGAATTAAAATCCCATTTTCACTTCACCTGGTACTACATTTACAAATATAGTCTAACCACTTTCCAGTGAAATCTAAAAAGGACCTGGTATACCTGTTGAGATATTTTGCAAATTCTTAGTTCAGTGAAGATTTATGTGTTTTACCAAGTCTGTAGAAGGCATCACTCAGGTAGATCTAGCACAAAAATGTTTTTTTCCGTAGCCTTTTTATTAATAATTTTTTTCTCTTATGTTCTCTTATTTGATCTGGAGTAGATATGTAAAAGGGAGTTTTGTGGTGATATTCGGTAATTTTCAAATTCCCTGTTCTTTGCAAAGAGAACAGTCAAAAACTACACCTCCACATATGTTCAGGCTTAATACAGAAGTAAGATTCTCTCTGAAAAAATACCAGGTCCTGGCAGTGCATAGAGGCACATTGCACTTTTCTGAAGAGGCTGAGTTATGTCTGGGATATAATTTTAGCCTTCCGTAGAGCAGATGGCTGCTTATTCTGCTATCCTGTTGTAAATGGCAAGAGCTATGTGCCTTCAGCTTATTTATGTCTAAGCTCTGAGCTCTGCCAGGGCAGTCACACAGCTGCAAGAGGCCACGCTTATTCTGGGATGAATGTAGAAAAGAAAACTAGGAAACACGCTAAAAAAAGTGGAAGTTCTAGGACAATGAATGACAGGACACAAGGAGGCTAAAACTATCAGTTACACACACAGGACTCCCGAGTGTCTGGAGAGTTTTTTTTGTTGTCTGACCTTAACTGTATGGGGGAGTAGGTTGGTTTCTGTTTGTATGGATTTTCTTGTTTGGTTCTATCCATGCAGTTTTGCATTTCATAAACGTATTCAGCATCCAGAAGAAACCCATTTGTACAGTGAGAATAATTACTGGAAAAACCTCCCCGGGGACATGGTATAGTCCCCATCACTTCTGGTTTTCAAGATTTATTTGGACAGAGTGCTAGATAATCTCATCTAGGCTCCCTTTCCCATTAAATGGTGGACCAGATGATCTTTTGAGGCTCCTTCCAAAATGGCCTATTCTTTCGTTCTATGATTCTATCCAAGACCTCGGGTATTACTTTTATGCTGTAGCAGATGCCATATGTGCAACACGTGCACGTCAGTTTGGCAGTGTAAATTGCTGCAGCAGAATCTAAATGTGGTTTGGATTTATTTGTATTAACCATAATTGGCAAAAAAAGCAGTTAACAATGTATAAGCCTCATGAAAAAACATACTTTTCTTAGAAATACACAATGTGAGCAGTTGCATTTGCTTAGCTGTTTCTGTTTGTGCAGGAAAAACAAGAGGATCTAGGTCTCTGGCAAGAGAAATTTGGCAGTTTCTTAGACATCAAAGCTCATGGTAAGCCTCAGTGTAGTTCTGAAAACAGCTTTACTGCTTTGTATAAACCTATGTTCATTCGTCTGTCTGCTTTCTGTTTATCTGCTTAAAATTTATCAGTGTCTCACTTGCTCCTGCTTTTCAGTTGTCTTAACTTTGTTTTAATCAGAAATCAGTGATGGGTAACAAATTTGATAAAAGTACTGCAAATATTCATTAGATTTCTGTTCAAGAGGGAACACAGTCAATGTGATCTGTTTCATCAACTCACTGTGCCATTTCTGACACAGTATAACACTATCTGTGTTGTCTGAGTGTACATGTATATAATACATTATTTTCTTTGTATGTTCTTTTCTTAGTACATAAGATTGATTTCACCTGTAGTTTATTCTCATGACATATCAGAAATCATGATATCTAAGCATTAATAATTGGCACAAAGAAACTCTTTTTAAGTGAGGACTACAAAAGGAAATACTGAGCAATCCTAAGAGATAAGGAGGTTACATACACGAGAGCAGTAGCTCAAATACAATTTAAATTATCAATTACCAAAATGTATGACCATCTGCTGTCTGTCTCATTGTATTCTGTATTAATTAAGTTAGTTAGCTTTGTTCATTACCACTAGCATTCAGAGTTCTATAGCAACCAGCACTACCCAGCAGCTGCAGTAGGGAGAGGGGGCTCTGAAAGCGATTCCTTTTGGTGACAGAAACTTCTTCAGTTCACAATCAAGACAGAGAGGGCAGGAAGCTGTTGTCTCTGTTGTTCATGCTGTATCTGATGTATTAGGCCAGCATCATGGTTTTTTCTGTGTTGGAGGAATAAAGTCCATGTGATCAGGTTCTGATCCTGAAGCCACTGCTTGTCAGTCTACAGGATCTCTGGTCACCTGCCAAAAGTTGCCCTGTATTTAGTATTGTGACAAGATGATATCACTGGTAGGGACTCTTGTGCATGCTGCTCTGCTGGCTGAGGCTGAAGAGAAGAGCGGTGGGAAACAGGCAGCTCAGACTCTGAAGTCCACTGTGCTGCAGAGTTTGGCTTTTATGTACTGGGATAGAAACAGGAGATAATTTTAAGCCTTTCACTGCAGAATAAAGAAGTGGCCCATGATTATGTGGATTTGTTTGGGGGGGAGGTTCTGCTAAAGTGATTAATTTTATCTTCTTAAGAAGTTCAAAACCAAAATAAATACAATAAAGTCTATTTAAGGCATTACCTCTGTGAAACAAAAGTAATAATGGAAGTGAAGTTGAAAAGAAGTATGAAAGAGTTAATTATTGAAACTTTCAGTTGTTTTATCCAGTTAGGTTGCTCTGCTCTGTTGCTTTCAGATAAGCCTGAGCATGGCACTCTATGTTCTTCTCTTTAATGTTATTTCCACAGGTCCCAGTTCTGTAGGCATGGACTTCTCTTTACATGGATATGATCACGTTTATGGAATACCACAACACGCAGAAACACTTCTTCTCAAAAACACCAGGTAAAGGTGCCAGATTGCTAATGAGTGCAGTTGGAGTTTTTTTGTAGAGGAGGGCTATAACATTGTCTTAATACTTTAATGCAGACAACAGCTTGAGACATGTATGTCATATAGATTAATTATACAGCAAACCACTATCCATGTAGAGTAAGTTGTTCAGCTTTCCCTTTCCGCTCTGCAATTTCATAAATGGCCTCTTCTGTTGTCCCTCGGTTTTCCATTCAGTTTTTTCTGGACTTCAGGATCAGTCATGTTTTAGCAGAACTCCTAAAAGAGCAACTCGATGAGAGAGTTCAGAAATCATATTTTAGGATTTAGAGCAAACAGTCTCACTGGAGCAAAAATCTTGTTTGATTCGGATAACGAGGACCAAAGCAAAGAAGCAGTAATCTAGACTGCCCATATTTCGGCTCTGGATGCCAAACAAAAGGCACAATACAGAGTGCTTACCAAGTATTCACCAAGTTTAGTGGAATGGCAATAGAGTTAAAATTGGCCTGCTGCAGGATGCTTGCACGTAATAAATACATCTGTTTGTTTGTCCTAGTGATGGTGATGCCTACCGGCTTTATAATTTGGATATCTTCGGCCACAAGATACATGATAAAATAGGCATTTATGGTTCAGTGCCCCTTCTCTTAGCACACAAGCCTAACAGAACTTCAGGGATCTTCTGGCTGAACTCTTCAGAAACGCTGGTGGATATTAGTACAAAGGCAGTAGCTGAGGTGAGAATTATTCACTTTCCTCAGAATTTAATAACAAAAGAAAATACTTCAGGGCAGGACGTACAGGGCACTTCAGTACAGGAATGTAACAACATTATTGGAGATTTATCTTTTGCTCCCTAATGAAGAATTGTCAGTCTCTTCCTCCTGTTCTCCCTGGTACTAAATTTGTTGTATTAAGCCGCTGAAAAGAACAAAGAGATGAGTTATAGATCTTGTATCTTAACAAGTCTACAGGAGGAGGCAAAGAGGAAATATGCAGAAAAGATCTACACAGGTGTATGTAGCAGGCAGAAGAAAGGGTGGACAAAAATCTTGACAATCTCTTGTATCTAAGGAATTTCTCAAAGTTTTTAAATTCTTGGTATTGGCACACATTTCTGCTAAGCAGTCTCATTCTGTGGAATATAATTGACCTTCAAAAAACATAGAATGTTTGGCAAAGAAATTCACTCAAACTCTTGAAACACAAACATGAATTCTGTTAAAATTGAAACAATGCAGAAAAGGAAAATCTTGCTTTGTTCCAGCACTGCATTATGTGGTTAAAATTATTAATTTTCTTTTTTACTTATGATATAAATATTACTGAAAGATCCAACAGAAAATGCATAGTCTGTAATTACAGAAAAGTTTTAATTATTTTGCCCCTCATTACCCATTTTTCTTCATTAACTATTGCTCTACTTTGTATAAGCAGTATGCAAGGTAAAGGATTTGTGAAGGATATATAAGAAACATTCAGTGGGTATTTCTAATACCTGCCAGGTATGTGTTAGTGAATTTTGTGTATTTCCGTCTTTGCTCCTTCATTGAATAAAAGTTTGGCAGAGAGAGATTCAGTTTTACCTTGGTTTCCTTCAAAGCACATGTCATCTAGATCTGCTGCAGAGACTGCTAAGCAGAGAGCAGTGCCTCTAACTGATGTACGCTGGATGTCAGAAAGCGGAATCATTGATGTTTTCCTGCTGATGGGACCCACTGCCTTTGATATCTTCAAGCAGTTTGCACAACTGACAGGTACTAACTCACATAATTGGAGTCAGTCTGGCACGTTTACCTGGGAGATTCTCTGAGGAACATGCTGTACCCAAGAGCAGGTTAATTTTTACCTAGCCCATTGTGTGCAGTTGTTCCCAGGCTGCAGTGTGTAGAGCAAAGGCCGGTACTTTGTGAAGACTGGTTTCCGTCCTTGTTTTCCCTAGCACTTGCAGCTGGTCAAACTTGGCCCTAATTGAGAAGCCAGCATAATTACTGCTATCTGAAACTGCACTCTTAGAAGAAGAGGGGAGATACAAAGGGCTAAAACTGCCAGTCACCATTAAGACAGGCCACCTTATAATGTGAAAAGACTGAAGTTATGAAGTAATGTGTCCTGGACACTAGAGAAATAAGATAGGTAAGTGTCCAGGGTGCCCCTTAGGGAAGGAAATACATCCCCATGCATATATGGGAAAGGAAAGAAACAACAGCCTCAGGAAGAGAGTTAAAAAAATGGAGAAAAGGGGACTAACATTTTATGAAAGCAGCATTCTTTGTGTACTAAAGAGAATTAAAGTACCTAAATATTCCTGGTAGTTCCTTAGTCTGTTAGCAATGTTCCTTTGCTGCACAGACGTGTTTGCTAAAATTTCTAACAATTTCAGTTCCAGTGGTTCTCCTTTTACTGTAGCACCTGTGGACCTATTTACACTACTCAAGTAGTCACAGAAATTGCATTGTACTGATTAAAATTTGTGTAATTGTTTGCATTAATGACAGATAAACTAATCTAGAATATTATTTGTTAGAAAAAGATAAAGAATAAAATTATATTGGTTACTGGAATAACAGTTCAGCATCATGGAACAGCAAGTTCTTTCTCACTCTCATTTTATCATTACAGTCCTTTGCTCTTTCTGACTGTTGAGCTCATTGTAATGCTCATTATTTCAAGAGTTAGTCACTTTGGTATGAAGGACTTAGGCCAGCATTCTCTAGCTCCAGAGAGACACATATTAATCATGTTAACTTTTTCTAGAGTCTCTAGATAAATTCTTGAAGGACTTTATCACTTTTATCTTCATTCATATACTCTTCCTAGGCACTCAAGCCCTGCCCCCCCTTTTTTCTCTGGGCTACCATCAGTGCAGGTGGAATTATGAGGATGAGCAAGATGTCAAGGCAGTAGATGCTGGCTTTGATGCACATGACATTCCTTATGATGTGATATGGCTGGACATAGAGCATACAGATGGCAAGAGGTATTTTACTTGGGACAAAAAGAAATTCCAGAACCCCAGAAAGATGCAAGAACATCTGAAGAAGAAAAAACGCAAGGTAAAAACATAACAGGAAGAAAGAAAATATTTCTCTGTAGTGTGAGTCTACCCAATCTAGCTTTAACCTAAGTACTTCAGATATTGAAAACAGCTTAACAACAACAGAGTAAATTAGAGTGTTGCTGTCTGGTGATGCTTACAGCATGCAAGCTATCATGTTTAATTCAGTTCTTCATGCCATTTTATTTTGTAGTTTGTTGTGTATCCTGACTGTCAGGCTAAGTTTGACTCATGTGAAGCTCTGTCTTACAGAAGCAGTTCAGTGCTGTGATGGACACAGCAGAAAATTTTTCTCCCTAACGTGAGCTTTCACTGTTGGTAGTTGCTGTGCTTGCTTCAGCTTTGCTTTGTGTTTCTGCTTTTACAGCTAAAATATTTTCCCTATAATTATAGAGGTATTAAAATGTAGACAATATCTTAAAGTTGTAGAATTGCTTAATTATTGATCTTCACCAAAAGTCAATGAATGGGGAAGTGTTGAAATAGCATTCAAGTTTTATAATCTCTCGGTTGGATTTATAGTACTTTGTCAGCTATACAGCAAAGCAGTTAAAGGCAGCAGAAAATAACTACAAAATACAGTATCTGTTGCTGTTGTATCCTATACAAACTAAAATACATTTAAATATCTTAAGGCATATGATTTTAAGCAGGCACATGAATGCATAAGGCAGATATTTTCCCATTCACAGAATACAGCAGTGAAAAAAACACAGTGTTTTTAGGGGTTGGGATACTTGCTTTTACCTGAAACAATGGGGTTTGTCCTTTATTTCAGAGAGGTAAGCATGAGTTCATGCCCTCCTTATGAATTCAGCTCCTATATGTAAGTCTAGCACAGTATATACAAGAACTGGTAACTGCTTTTTAAAATTAGTGACACAGCTGTCTTTTTTACCTGAGGTGTAATCATTCTCTGCCTTTTATCAAAAGTGAACTCTTACTGTTTTATTAAGCACAATTGATGCTAATAATGATTTTATTTTCTTATCCTGTCAGCTTGTCGTCATTGTAGATCCACACATTAAGATTGATCCCACATATACCCTGTATTCACAGGCAAAAGACAAGGGATATTTTGTGAAAGACAGAAATGGGCAAGATTTTGAGGGCATCTGTTGGTCAGGTAAAAAACCACTCTGTCTCCATATTTATTTTAAATATGTTTATTTTAAAAATTTTGCAGAATACTTTAATTGGTATCCATGGAAGCAGAATTAAAGTCTTACATTCCTTGCATTTTTGGTAAATATTAATAATTTCAAATACTTTGTGGTTTCTTTGATATAGTCATATTCTAATTGCCTCAGCTGTATAACATCCTCTGTTACATCTATTGAAACTGCAGATAGAACCAGTGCCTAGAACTAAAAAAATTGGATTTGTTTATGAGAACAACCATTCCTCTTCGAAATTTGTCTTGGATACAGAAATGCAGTCTGATCTGTTGCAGTGAGCACAGCTTATGTAAACTGGATGAAATTAAGTGAACCCCTGGTACTGAACCTTTGATTCAATCATAATATAGTGATTTGACATGTTATTTTTCTTAAGGAGATCTCACTGGGTAGAGGCAAAGCAGGTTGTCCCACTTCTTTACAGACAGGAAGCTCACAGTCCTGGCAAAGGAGCAATTATGGGAAAATTCAAGGACATGTTACAACTTCTGGTAGCATGGCACAATGTGGTTATTCAGCTTCTCAGTAACGCTTTCCTGTTCGAGTTCAAAATACCAGGGATGTTGTCTTTCCCTGGCTTCCTGTTCACAACTGAACATGTTTCAGACTGTTAGCAGTCATCCTTAAAGGGTGCTGAACTTCAGACCTCCAGAATCTACATGTGTTGATAGGGCAAGGGGTGTATTGAGTTCCAAGTCAGCCTGGAATTTGCTCTTGAGCTTTTATTTCAGAAACAATAGTGACTACATTATTGCTGCTGGTGAAAAGCATTGTAGCTTTAGGCCACTGTATTTAGGTGCAAAGACAATGCTCTTAAAATCAGGTAAATAATTGGGATCTCCCATATCCACAGGTTCCTCTTGCTACCTGGATTTCACCAATCCTGAAGTGCGAAAATGGTATGCAGATCAATTTGCCTTCAAAACATACAAGGTTTGTATTTATTTGCTCTGATCTACATATCCCAGAACGCCTGAAAATGGAGAAGAAAAAGAAGATACTGGCTAAGCAAATTGTTGGCTTTTGTAGCTGTATTATTGTAATGTAGAGGAAAATAATCTTGATAAGCTGAAGCACCATAGAAGGATTTTCTCCATGGATTGTCTAAACTAAGACAGTTGAAATCCGTGGACGTGCTCACTTAGTTGCAGCAGTAGAAGGGACAAACTTCAGGCACTTTAAGAATCACCTGCTGCATAATCTAATCCAGCTGCTGCCATTTCAGCTTTTACTACCGTGATAGCACACAAAGAACAATGTGGAAGTGCTCTCTCATAGCTCATAGTCACTTTATTCTGAACGTCCTGCCTAGTGCTGAAAGTGTCTGAGCAACCATTGCTGGACACCTCCAGTTCCCCCACCCTGCCCCAAAGTTCTAGTTTGCAGTAGAGTTGTTGAAACCACTCTCCTAGTAGACATGCATGGTACATATTTCCCAGACTGCTTTTCCTCTCCAGTTTTTCACCTCTGGCCTTCTCTGATTTTTCCTCATATCTGTTTAATACTTCTCTTTTCCCTGCCTCTTTTCCCTCACCAGAAGGCAGAAATAGCAAGTGCCTACTGAGTTTGTAAGAATTGCAAAAGTCAAGTGGGCTTGCAGGCTGCTACCCTGACCAGAAGGGCCTCCAACAGAGATGAGATGAACAACTGGCAGCTTTCAAGTCACCTCAGAAGTGTAATTACCATGCCTTGCTTTACTGCTGCTGTTTCTAGTCACACCCTAGACTGGTCTGACACCCACTAAAGATAAACACACTAAGTCACAGCAATGGCTCTGTCATGACCTAATTGCAGCCCTGTGTTACAGGGATCCACTAATATCCTCTTTGTATGGAATGACATGAATGAGCCTTCAGTCTTCAAAGGGGCAGAACTAACAATGCAGAAAGATGCTGTGCACTACAATAACTGGGAGCATCGGGAAGTACACAACCTCTATGGATTCTACCAGGTAGAGTATCTGGAGACACAAACAGCAGTCACTCCCATGGAGTATGTCTAATGTGGTACTTTACACAGTACTAGGTATTCTGTAGCCTTCATCAAGGATTCTGCTGTGCTGGATATTGCAGTATTTGGAATAAACTATGTGATTGGTCACAAGAAAATGTGACATCTGTGCCTTTCTACCATAACAATGTAAATTACATCAACTGTGACTACACAATATTAATAATTTTTCATTCAATTATATTCTAATAAGAATTTGTTGCTTTAATAATAGGTATTATTTGTGGGTTCTTAATTTTTCTCACTTGGAAGGGCTAAAGAGGCAGTCCAGAAAATACCCTAATTAAAGAGTTCATCTTCCTGGCTTTTATATTCATGATTTTCAGCAAATGGCAACTGCAGAAGGACTCATCAGACGTTCTTCAGGAAAAGAGAGGCCATTTGTCCTCACACGATCTTTCTTTGCTGGATCACAGAAGTATGGTAAGGACTAGCTGAATGCCTTCATTGCTGCTTTGTTCTATTAAGTTTGATGGATAAGAGTCTAGAGAGGAGAGAAATTGTCTTAGAAATACTGACGTGGTGAGCTCATGAGAGTGCAAGTGATTAAAAAAATCAGGAAAGGCTAGCAAAGCATGTACAAGTTAAAGGCAGAATAACAACCTGTGTCCTGTGGCAAACCACTGCCTGCTTTTTACTGCATATTTCAGGAACATGTATGTATAAAGAAAAAAAAGGTTCCAATGTACAGCAGTTCACGAGTGGTTCATATCTATTCTTGTCTTCTTTCCTTAACTGCAAGCATAAATTGAAGTATACTCTTGGTTTTCCTGCATAATGCTGAAAGTGGGTATTTCCAGGGGCAGTGTGGACTGGAGACAACACAGCAGAGTGGAGTTACTTGAAAATATCCATTCCAATGCTTCTTACCATCAGCTTGGCAGGGATTTCCTTCTGTGGAGGTAATGTGTTTCTCACTAAGCATAAATGGTGTCACCAAGCTTGTATTCCCAACGTAGACTTCAACACAGATGGTGGAAAGCTCAACAGTCCTGTGCATTTCCAGGCAGTTTCACAGATCAGTCTGGTTTCAGAAGCTTGAACCTGGCTGTCATCATTTCTCCACTAGCTCTTACATGATGTTCGTGTCCATCTGGAGCAGCAGTCCTCAGGTGGTGTTCTGTAGCATCATTGTGACAGTCCTCTGTCACTGAGAAAGGTACTCGGCCTTCAAAAGCTCTCTTGAGATTTTTTTTAAAGGATAACTTGTTACACCGAGCAGAACAGCGAGCACACTGTGAAATGCATGGATTTATACACTTGGAATGTTTGTTAGAGGAGAGTTTCACATTTTTCAGAATGATTTCCAAAAATGTGTATTTTTATTTGTCTGCGCAATATCTAGCTGATGTGGGAGGGTTTATTGGAGATCCAGAACCAGAATTACTTGTTCGCTGGTATCAGGCTGGAGCCTACCAGCCCTTCTTCAGAGGTCATTCTAACATGGAGAGCAAACGGCGAGAACCGTGGCTCTTTGGGGAGAAGAACACCCAGATCATCAGGAAAGCCATTAGAGAGCGCTACGTCCTCCTGCCTTACTTATACACACTGTTCTATCGGGCACACACAGCGGCTGAACCAGTTATGAGGTAAGAACATAAGTCAGGAGATTTAGTGATTATCTTCAGGAAGTTACTTGGAGAAGGGAAGTTCAATTAGCCTCTCTTACTTTTGTGATTGCTTATTTGAATATTAAAAAATTACAAAAACACACACAAAAATTATAATACTGAATTCTATTTTCATGAATTCTGCAAGCTTTGCTAGGGTTCTCAGAAGAAAATTATATGTTTTGGGTTTTTTTCCAAATGACACCTGGAACACACTAATTCAATAAACACTTCACAGTCTTTAAACATGTTTTTAAAATACTGTAGACTTCAAACTTCCCGTCATGATAAAGAACATTATGTAGTAGTCCAAGCAGTACATAAAACAGTGCTTAATGGACTCTGAACTTGCTGACCTAAATATGTAAATGCCATTTTGCCCCTTATGAAAATACTTGTTACTGCTTAATTGTTATTGTTCTAAAAGCTTACATCACATTAATAAGTTTATAATTTATGTCTGCAGTATCCCTTCTAATGTTTCTCTTAGCAGAGTATCTAATAATATAGAACAGAAATGAAATTAGAAAATAAATTTTTGTTCTGCTGCTCTCTAACCTCTAAGAGTGTACCTCAATGGAACTGAATCCAGCAATTCTTTCAACAAGAGATGAATGTCAGTAATCTCCCTGGTATTGATTTCTGTGTCTTCGAGGTTGCCCTAGAACTGTTCTTTTGCACCACATTTACCTTTACGTATTGTTATACAGATACATCTCCTAAGTTTTAAAAACATAAAGGTGTTTTTGGGAATGGTTGAGTGATTTGGGTTTTGAAGATGATTTGCACATATATAGGCCAAGATGCACCTGTTGTATGCGCTGATATAGACAGTGGGTTTCTGTCTTTCTTGAAGTGAAGCTCCTGTTGACATGTGAATTGCCCACAATATTAAATAACACTTCTGTTGTGTTAAATTTGGTGCAGTAGGTACAGAATTAGAGAGGAAACACGATATTTTTCTCACTAAGACAAGCAGAGTGGAAAATGTGTCTCATTAGCAAGCACATGAGGAGCAGGGCTGCAGTGAACAAGTGGATGCCTATGAGTAAGAAGGTGAGCCAGGCTTTTTGTGTAAGGAAACCCAGACCCTGTCTCTCAATGAGCTATCATTGTCATAATCTCTCAAACTTTAAATTACAACTCCTGTTTTTGAGAAAGACTGAAAATTAACTTCTGGTGCAGGTTTTTCAGGTGTGACCGGGAGGAGACTTGCTATAGAAGCAGCAGTGAGCTGTTGAGAACAGGAAGAACTATGCTGCAGGGACTAGCTCATCAGCTGCCAGCATTGCTGGTACACTGTATCAAAAAGGCTCATTCATCTCTCCTTTGCTAGAAGGAAGGTAGAAGTAGTGCAAGTTTGTAAGGAAGAAGGCAGGAGGAAAGAAAATGAGGCTGCAGGAGATGAAGTCATAGGTATATTGGAGTGTCATAAGCCATGTTGTACTGGGGACTCTATCAGAGACTCAAAGGGGTACTGGCACAGAAGAGAACCTTGCCCTATCTTAAGTTCTTGGTAACTGTACCTTGGAAAGAGAGGGAGAAAATGGAGCCTGAAAATGCCAGAAGGACTTGAATGGGCTGACTGGAGAGGAAAAAGTAACTGAATTCCACTATCTTTCTTTCTACAGGCCTCTCTGGGTAGAGTTTCCAGGAAAAACAGAAACTTTTGACGTGGAGTATGAGTACATGCTGGGTAAGCAGGTGTCTTATTCTCTGGAATTTGACTTAAGTAGTTTTGAGGTGGTAAAGTATGCATAACAGAAAGAAAGCACAAAAATTCTGCCCAAGACTTTAAAAAATTATATTGTAATTGAATATAGAACTTGAGACCTCTTTAAAGGACTTGGTTTTAAAGCACTTTGAAAGTAGGGGTCATATGAGATGCAAAAATTGAGTTTTATCTCACTAGTCACTTTGAAAAAACATGGTTGGGTTTGACCTGAAACATGAAAGTTCACTGTAGCAGCTAAGACCATAGTCTGTTCAAAAATGGCAGTAGCAAACAACTACCACCCAAACATGATTGTTTTTCACTCTGGTATGGCTGGTTGCTGAAGTCAGGTAGCCATCAGCTCCTTATACATGCCATTTTTTCCAGTAGAAAGTGAATTTAAGCATATGGCATGCCCAAGCAAGTTCCTAAAATGGTTATGGGAGGCTGAAAACCCCAGAGCACACAGTTTCTGCTTTGGCAAGATGCAGCCTTGAGGACCACAGCCATGTTCATGGTTTTTTTCCAGGAAATGCTTTGTTGGTGCATCCAGTCACAGAGAAAGAGGCCAAGACAGTGAGTGTTCTGCTTCCAGGGTCAGAGGAGGTAAGGATGAATATGAACTGCTCAGCTGTTCTGCCCAAAGAAGTATTTTATGCAGGAACCTTCCAGCTCCCCATCTTGTAACTGCTGAGCACTGCTGCCATGCCAAGTGCTGGCCAGCCATCCTGAGCCATTCTGAACCCTTCCTTCCACCTCAATACCTTGCATGCTTGGCTCACAGGAAATTTACTTTCTTGCTTTTCCAAGAGCTGCTGCACAAATCTCAGATTCCCTATAATTTAAATGTTCCCTCAAGGCTTGCTGCTTCTCACTGAACACCATAAAACAGCTTCACTAAATTGTCAATTTCCTTTTTTCATGTATTTCTTTTTGGGTTAAACTTCACTTTTTATGTGGAAAAAAGGGAACTTTGAAGAAAGGTCATAAGGAAATCAGAGGGAAGCTGTGGGGAGGGAAAATTTTAACAAGGAAATACAAGTCTCAGTAGCCTGGGACATGTGTAACAAAGATTGACATATACAGAGATCAGTTCCTCTCTGAAGTAAAAGTATTTATCCACAGGATGGCACAGTCGTCCACTCCTACAAAGAATGTTAATGCTACAGCAGCTGGGAGGTGGAGGAAGGGAAATAATTTGGGGAAAATAGTTCCTAAGGGAAAGCCTGAGACTCTAGAGGGTAAACAGCAAAGGGGAGCGTGTGACACCATGCAGAGCCTTGTGACTCCACTAGGGCACCTGAGGTCATGTAGAATTCTTCTCAGTGTAGGGAGAAAAACAGACTAGGCTCTCCAAACAAGAAAAATATTTTTATCAAGATCTCTGTGGGAACTGACTGCTTGCACACTAAAAGCAGTTAAACCTGCTGGCAAGTGTGTGTGGGAAGTTCGGGTGCAGCTCTTTTTTGTCACCTGTTATTAGCAACTTTGTTGTTAATTTTCGCTTCAATATAAATATACTTTTTCAGAAATTAGATTAAAAAAAAAAGTGTTTCATTGGTTTGCAGTTCCAGATGCTTTAAGACATACAAGATATTATGCAAACTGTAGAAAAGATCAGATTATCTTTGTGCTTCAGGAATGAGAATTGATTCTTTCCATCCCAAAGGTCACTAAATTGAAAAGTGAATGTTTCCTCTTGCACATCAAATAGGTTGTTAGGAAGAGTGACAGGTTAAGCAGGAGAGTAACTGCATCTGCAGAGGGAACAAATCTTGCCATAGATGTCATGCTCATTATTTTTTCATTTTTTCTAGATTTGGTATGATTTCAGAAAATTTAAACGAATGGAAGATGCAGGCACTCTGAAGATCCCAGTAACACTAGAGAATGTATGTTTTTGTTTTAAAATGCTACTTCCTTTGAGCAGAAAAAGCACCTTAGCTTTTATTTTGTCAATAATCATAATCAGAAAAGTGACATTTCAATTTCTTTGTAGAAATGTAATAGCTGTTTTCTTAAAGTCCCATCTCCTTTATTGCTAGATAGAACACTACTGTGTCCTGGTAGTAAAGTGAGGTGATGTAAGGGTGACTCTTCCAAGCAAAATTATTTTGCTTATACACATACAGAAAGTTACTACTATTCCCATTGTTAATTGAACCATTGTCTTTATATATTTGTGGTAGAAGTTCACTTCTAAATTTTGATAAGAGCAAACTTCAGCTATTCCCTATCCATGTTAAAATTATATGATCAGAGTATATGAACCTTTCTACCCGGCTTTGTTTTTCTCAGCTTCCTGTGTTCCAACGGGGGGGCACTGTGATACCTCTGAAGACTGCAGCTGGGAAATCCACTGAATGGATGATAGATATTTCTTATGAACTCCATGTGGCCTTGGACACAGAGGTACTTTGAGATAGTGTTCCCTTTTTACAAAGATGTCTTCTACTCCATCTGACCTTTGTAGGCCCTTACTGCCTATTTGATCAGCACAATGGTATCTACATCTGTATGCCCAGTGGCTCTTCTCCACTTCTGCAATTTGAGGGGACTTCTACCTCTCCTGCACTCTTCCTTCAAAGTGAGGCTGTCTGAGTATAGCAGAGGCAGAACATTTTTCTAACCTTTCTCAGCCCTCATCGAGTCCCTTGGAGGAAGGAGCAGAGATTGAGCAGGCCACAAGCTTCCTCTTGGACATAGAGAGAGAGCTTCCTGCAACTGTCTTTTCTAATAAATGAGGTGACTCCTGACACCAGCATCCATTTACAAAACCAAGATGTCCAGCACTCTCAGAGTTGGACTGCCTGAGCCTTCCAGGGATACAAGTTGCTAAAGAAAAATAAACACACATCTTCAATATGAAACGTAACATATAGTGAGACATTTTTAGTTTCATTGTTCAGCACTAGAAACTGCTGTTAATTTGTGCTCCATCTGATGTGTTTCACAGGCCTGTGCCATAGGTGAGCTCTATGTAGATGATGGACATTCATTTCAGTACCTCCACAAGAAGCAGTTCCTATATCGGAAATTCACTTTCCACAAGAACATTCTCACTTCCAGGTAACAGCAGTTGTGGACAAAAGCCACCCATACATTGTCACTGGAAATGTCTTTTCTAGTTCATGAGGCATTCTTGCAAATGTAGCAGTATTAGTGTCATCTACTTCTTAGTGAAGTCCCAGAGTGTGCAGAATCTGTCATAAAACTGCAGAGATATACAATGTTCTGTGTAAGTCTAGGGGCAGCAACACATGAAATACTGAGTTGTCTCATATTGTTTCAGTCTAGTCATATTGTTTCAGTCTAGTCAAATTAGAGATTCTGCAGATTTACTCAAGTACAAAGAAAGTCATTAGAAAGGGTAAAGCCCATCAGAGAGACAAAAGAAGGTAAACCAGGACATTTGCAAGTAGGCAACACCTGGAGTGGTTTTTGTTCTAAGGTGTATTTTTCTAACATAATCTGCACTGAGAGAGTGGTTGGTTACTGGAACATATTTCCCAGGGAAGTGGTCAAGGCACTAAGCCTATCCCAGTTCAAGACGCATCTGGATGATGCTCTTATTCATATGATTTAATTTTAGGTAGTCTCAGAAGGAGCAGGGAGTTGGGCTTGAATCTTATATGTCAGTTCCAACTTGAGATATTCAGTACTTCTGTCTGGGCACCACAAACACATGCCATTGTATTCTCCAAAAATAATCCACAAATTTCACCATGTATATTGGCATGAAGAAAAGCACTTAAAAGGAGGCACAAGCAGATACAACCTGCAAAGGCTGTGTGGCAAAACCTAAAAGCCAAAAGGATCCTTAGCTGCTTGTAAGGAACAAGATGCTAGATACATCACTATAACTATTGAAGTATGGTGCCAATGGGGCTATGCAGTGCATAAATGGTGATTCTGCAGACATTCTTTAGTCCTTCAGGGTTCAAATGTATGCAAGCAGTGGTCCTAAAGCTAAAAATATAACACAGAGCAAAACTGTAGTCTAGTTTGGATAATTTTAAAGTATAATTCAAATCTCTTGATCTGGAATATTCAATCTGAAGATCTTAAAAAATACAGCATGGGAAAGAAAAATTTTGCTAAATTGCTAGCAAATCTAGAAGTTGGAAAAAAGTAATTTTCAGATGAATGATACAACATTTGTTCACTGCAAAAAGTTTCATTTTGATTTTTTTTGAGCTTTTTAATAAAAATTAAATTAGTTACAAAGTGAAAGATAATTTTGCCTCAGATTGAAACATCTTACTTGAAAAAGTGTTAAAATTAGCTTTACATTTTTTCCTAGGAGTTTTAAGTACTGTTTTGTGAAAATCCAGAACTTTCCTAGTAGTCAAAGCCATACTTTTTACCATAAAATACTTTCTCAAACTTTTTCTTCTATATTTGTTAAATCTGATATGTGGTGAAAAATTAGTTGACAGTGGGAAGAAGTTTTACTTGTTTTTAGGAGAAAGGTAAATAGAGGAAAGGAAACCAGTATAGGGAACTTTCAGGATGAGACCAAAGTAGTACTTTCTCTGTATGATACTGAACCTCTACTGTTGGCCAAAAACTAATGTAAATAAAATAATTTTCTTTTTTCAGCTGCACCGATGAAAGCGGACAATACCAAACCTCATGTGTGGTTGAGCGGGTGATAGTTCTGGGATTTGGAAAGCAACCCACTTTTGTGACAGCCAGTTCCAAGGGTAATGAACTGACTTCTATTTTACTACAGTTCTTTGAAATCCTGTTGCTCTGCGGCCATTCACTAGAGATGTCAAACTGGCAGCTCTATAATGGAAGTGTTACAGCATACAAAGCCTCTTTGTTTAGTTTTCTTTGCTACTTTTTTGGTATCAAGGACAGAATTTAGTGAAAGGAGCCAGCAGCTACTCACTACTATTATTACATGCAGAACTGAAGCACACTGGCTTTGTAAAGCAATAGATATATCAGTAAAAGTGGTTTGGAATTAACAAGTTCAGACAATGTTGCCCTGCACGGAACACGACCAGAGATAGCATTTCAAATGAAGGCCCATTTGCTCAGATCTGTAAACCTGCCTAGTCTAGAACAGGAAACTTGCAGACAAAACCAGATTTCTTGCTTATTCAAAAGCTCTGGAGTTCTTACTTGTGTGGGGCTCTCTAGAAGTTGTGAGGGATCTCATATGGATAGGCAGTGGCATCTACAAGAAAGAGCTTCTAATTTCTGGCTGATTTTGAGGCATGTCCCTTCACTTTGGGAGTCATGGAGAAATGGACTTTCTGCCTCTACCTGTCAGGGGTGTCTGGAGGGAAACCTATGCAGAAACAAGGGTTATTTTTTTCTGAAAAATCCTTTAATAGTACCACAGTTTGACGTACCATAGTTTGAAAGATCAGAAAAAGAGAAATAATTATTTTCCAGTTCTGCTGCATTCTTATGTGTATTCTGGGCAGATTTGTCTTCTATTTCTTTTTTAATTGATTCTTTCCACCAGTGGCAGGGGCAGTCAGAATTAAAAACTGGAGAGAGTCATATGTAACTGTGTTTCAGAAGAGTTCTTCGTAAATCAAATAGTAAACTCTCTTGTCCTGTTCAGGTGGGAAAGAAAAGGAAGTGGTTTTCACATATGATACGAAGACCTCTGCGCTGACACTGGGAAACTTAGCCCTGAGTGTTGATGCTGACTGGGAGATTTGTATCAACTGAGACACAAGTTCTTCAGAGAAGCAATTCATTGAGAGGTTGAGGAGAAATAAACTGGGAGGACTTAAAACATTCACTTGAATCCAATCAAGTCAACAAATATTTTTTCCACTGACACTCCCCAAACTAACATTTCCTACAATTTTTCTTTTAAAGCACTAATTTAAACTTGGGTAGCTCTTCTATTCAGCAAAAGCAATATCACTAGGATTGTATCTTTGGGGAAATAAGCTAAATACCATTTGCTTCAGGCTAGCTTTAGTTAGGCAGTAAGTTTCAGTTCTGCCTTCACTTGCACTAAAAAATCATGAATTGAGGGGGTGAAATTGGGGCTCATTGGCACAGGGCTTAATGTAAGTATTTGGAAATCCTATTATTCAGAGACTGGAGTGCTTGAGAAGAGATCTGGGCCAGTTTGACAAGCAGCATCAGTAGATATGCCAGATGCAGAGGTTATCACCAGAGTTCTTCCTGCAAGCTGCCTTGTGAAAACAAACACAGAAGGAGCCACCCTGTGTCATTACAGACACTTCCCTTTTCCAGTCCTTATGACAACACAAAATGAGCTGGTCTGTACTGGAAAGCGAACAACAGGCTCGCTGAACAGTTCAGTCACTGGAGGTAAGGTTTGAGTAGGTTGTGCCAGTCAGTTGTGCAGTAGTAGAAGACAGTGACATGGCAGTGCAGAAGGCTGTCCCACAGCTGGCTTTGAAACTTGGATTTCGAAAAGGCACAGGTCCACATTAACTGCAGTACTGGCTCAGGATAGCAGCTATACTCACACGGAAACATTTTACATGTTATTGCTCCCCTCTATCTGCAAGTACTACTTAAAAAAAGTCTTTTATTAGGAAAGAATTGGCATTGATGATTGAGTGTCATTGATCAAAGCCAGCCCAGGGAAGCAGCTATACTCCTCCATATCTTCCAGCTCCTGCCAAGGTTTAGCTCCCATTACACATGTTTTAGTACTGTCTTGATCAGTTTTTAGTATCTGGCTGAGATTTGAGCTTGGCATTTATGGAGCAGTTTAATAATAATGGGATTAATTCTACATTTAGCCATCCCACTTCTGGGCTTTTCTCCCATTCTGTTACAACGCCAGCCTAATGTTCCCTTGCTTCCTTTTCACACCATCTCTGCAAACAGAACTGGTTTGTCCCGATGCTTGCTTCCCTTGCAAAACTAGGAGACATCCTGAGTCCCACATCCACTACATCCTGCCCATTCCCTCAGGCCTTTCCATACTAGGCATCCCTTTTCACGGGCTGCCATTGCTCTACAGTTTGTTTGCCCTTTCCATTTGCTACATTTGTAAACTACGTTATTTTAAAACCAGTCTGCTTTGAGTCAAAACTGAACATGCCATCAGTCGAGTTTCTGAATATAAAAGGACATAGTTTACTTAATTTCTTTTAGTAAGATAAAGGGCTATTTTCTAAAAACATTGGTAAATTAACTCATAGGAAACAGAAAGGGATAGTCGCGATTTTTGCCAACATAACATTACTAAGTTCCCTGTGCTTAGTCAGTCATTCGCACCTGCTGCTGTTTGTCCTCTGCAGGACAGATTTCTGGGAATAGCAAATGTGAGAGCAAACTGAGTGTTCCGCTCTTGATGACTCAAGTGCAGCTTGCTCCCCACCAGACCCTTAAGGTCTTTCTTTTTCATTCTGAAGAGCTGTTTGTCAGCACCTCCTAGGAGACCATGTGAGCCTCCGCTCCAGGAACTGGCAACATAAATACTGTTGTGCTTTTAATGCAGCTGAGTTAATCCAGGTAGAACAGTAGCAAAAACATCTTTTGTGTCTGTGAAAAGAGAGACAGACACTATTTTTCTATCAGCTTCTAAGCTTTAATTGATGATTTCTGAATATGTTTAAGCATAGCGGTGCTTCTGACAGGATATAATTATTGTCTGGGGCATTTTAATGAAATATTTTAACTGCTCTTTCTCAAGTTGGAAAGTGAAATAAAGTAAAAATGAAGTGAGTTACAATCCTTATTCCTTCCAACTTTCTTTCTGCTGTTGAGAATCACTACTGAGTATTCTTCCAGGGGTATCTGGTTAAAGTGAATGCTAAAATGACTAGCTTTTATACTCTGGCCCTCAGTATGATATCTGCACCATAGTAAGTAGTCATGGGTCAAATTTTCAGTGGTATGAAGTGCATAACTTCTATGGATTTGATTAGGAATGAGTTGCTCAAAATCATAGCAGTCATGTCTTTAGATCTGAGGAAATAAATGTCAAAGAATATGATTTATATTGCTATTTGTAGTAACTCACGTACTTATCCACGTATTTATGCCATAATTGAAGAAATAAATTTTTAGTATATCTTTACAAAAGAAATAATTGAAATAAATTAGTGAAAACAACTCGAGAGAAAACTTCATTAAAATTAACTAGCAATATTAACATCGTAGATTAGTTTACTAAAGATTAGTTCATTTTTACTCTGTAAGAAACTACTGTTTCTTACAAAAAAAAGGACTCCATAACAAAACCACCTGTCCAGTAACAAATAAGAAAAGGAGAAATTGTATTTTGAACAGGTGTAACTCCTGAACATACCTAAAGAGCAACATTGGCTTAGAATTGAGAAGTGCATGTCCACCTGCCATTCCACATGCAGTCACTGTCCGAACTGTTAGCTATAGCAGTAGCAGCAGGTCATACCCTGACACTTGCTGACCATCCCAACAGAAAAAAAACCAAACAAAACCCACTGCTAATCATTCACTTTATCCTCCCCAGCAGCCCACAAGGAGTTTGTCAAATGTCAGATCTCTCCCACTGACAATTCTTCTGGAAACAGAGCTCTGTATATGAGAATAAACAGATGTACTGTTATATTGGTCAGAAAGGGAGAATATGAAAGAAAGAACATATGCACAGGCTGCAAAATGAGCATCTTTGCTGAAGCTGTGCAGTGAAAGGCCCTTGCATCATACTACTTGCATTGCAGAGTCAGATGGCTCCTGTAACTTTGGTACATCGTAACACACAGAGAACAGCCCAGTTTTCACACTAGGCCCCTTATAAACTTTTCTGCCCTTACACAAAAGGATGCCTTTTATATGGGAGGTAGCTACTATCAGGTGAGTTTTAGTGCTGCCAAGCTGCTTTCTAGAGGAACTAAACCCAGCGGGCAGGTATTGACCTGACCTCAGTAGCATCAAATTACTACCTTTTTCACCATTAGGAGTGTGTCTTTTGATAATCCTCTCTAGTAGTAAATATGTTTCTATATCTTTTCCACAGCAAAGGGTAGAAACAAGTAGAGTACAACAATTCCTTTACAAGTGGCAGGACGAGATTATTGCCTGGCAGTACCTCATAAATAACGTTCCAAAGCCAGCAGGTGTGTCGCTTCCAGTTTCACTGTTATCTAGTTAAGAAAAATATGAACTGCTTCCACTAGGAGTCGGCCTACACACAAAACCTGTCCCAGGAACTTGCTTGGCCTCAGCACAAGCTGCACAGAAGTTTGACACCGTCTCACTAACCCCCTCCCTCTCATTTTCCCTCTCTCTTCGCCTGTAGTTATTTTTAGATTTCACGGGTTAAAGCTTGTCCCTTCTGGACACTTACACGCACAGGGCAGGCACACAGGCATGCTATAGATACTACAAGTCAGACACAGGACTTGGCCAACAGATCATCTTGTCCCACATCAAGGAATAAATCCCAGTTTCTTATGACAAACTACTATCCATTAAGAGGATGGAAAGCCACATGGAATTTTCTGGCTTGCAAATTTGACTAGAAGACTTTCAACAGATTGAAAAGACGGTTTACATAGCAACTTCCTCTTTTCTGAAATTTCCTTCCAGTTTGCAAGATCCTGCTTTCTTTCAGCATTTGCTTTATGCCTGATTCCCATGCCGTCCGCCATAAATGCAGCGGTGGCTCAGCAAACGGCTGCTGGGTCAGTTCCCAGCCCTACTATTAGCACTACAACTGAAGGGGCAGGTGGGGGCACAGGGGGGATTTATTCTGCCATTATAAGTCGCAACCAGCCCATTATCAGCGTAAAGGAGAAGACCTATGAAGAGCTTCACAAGAAGTGCCTGGAGAAGAACATTCTCTATGAAGATCCTGATTTCCCACCGAATGAGTCCTCCCTCTTCTATAGCCAGAAAAGCCCTGTCAAGTTCGAATGGAAAAGACCACATGTAAGTAACATGTTTGCTGAGTGCTTTTTTCTATACATTGAAGTAACCACCCTGAGCTTACATTTTTGCAAGCTCAAAAATGTGTGTTGGGGAAGGCAGGCAGAATAAACTGGAGATATATTTCCTTAGAGCTCTCCTGGAAGATAACTAGCTAGGGCTGTGAAAGCTCAGAGAATGTGAATATAATGACTAAAATACAATAAACCGGAATGAAACAACAACAAAAAAAAGAGATGGAATGAAATAGGTAGAAAGAGACATAGGGAATTTAATTTTCTTCTTGCACGGTTTGCCTGGGATTTTCTCATGTGGCTTCCAAAGAAACACTCTCCTCATTCTGCAAGAAGCTACTGGGTTTACTGAGGCTTAATTTTTTTTAATACTACCTTGTTTCACTTACAACTTTATTTTAGCATTCTGCTGTTTTCCTAATGTGTGAAAGGACAAGTTATGATCTAAACCATGCTTTTATTTAGTTGTTCCCAGCATTGCTTATCCAACTTGTATTGTTGGTTAGCATTTTACCCACTTAACATGAATGTGGGTGTTCTAATCACTATGAAGACTCACTTTTGGCTACTAGTTCCATTCATTTTTCCTATTCTGTGGGTATTCTCCAGGCAGCCTTCCTTTTCTTTTTCTTCTTTTTTTTTTTTGCCTGTCTCTCTCACAGACAGAGGACTAATTCTTCAATTCCCAGTTGATTCCTTGTTCTACCACAGGAGGAGTTATACTCTCTTCCTGTCATATCTGCTGGGCAGCTGCCTCCCTCCAGCCAGGCAGCCGCTGGGACACTACCTTGGCCCATGCCAGCTCCTGTCTGATAGTGAGGGTCCTGAGGAGCTTCCACAACTCCCTCTCCCTGGCAGTTTTTGGCCACCTCTTCTGGATTTGCCATTCTTCCC